GCATCCTGCTAATTCCCTGGGCTCAAAAACCCCACAGCTCCTGTGCCCGGGTCAAAGGGGCTGTTGGGTCACTTGTCCTGTGGCTGAGCCTCATTCTACCCTGTGCTGCAGCGATCAGTGAGCACGGAGGCACCTCCAGGATGGAGGATGTGATCCTGCCGTGGCCGGTGGCCGTTTGGGACTTGAATCCCTGCAGACACCCTGGTAGTCCAGAGGGAGCCTGTGGGGACAGGGCTCGGTGTGGGGCTGGCGTGGAGAGGAGCTGAGCTGTGCTGACTCAGCGTGCCCGGTGGCAGGGAAATGAATCTCCTCTGGGCATTAATCCCGCTGACAGCCCGGGGAGCGTAGCTGGAGTGTGCTGTGTTGTAGGGCAAGCGCTGCCATAATAGCGCTTGCCATCGGCTGAGCTCTGAGAGCGGCTTCAGCCTGGGGGCATGGAGGGGACAGGGAGCACCCCGGCTGGTGCCAGGGCTCACAGTGGTGCTAGGGGCTGGCCGAAGGATGGAGAGGACATGGAGTGGGTGTGGAAGGGTTCAGCACCGGAGGAAAGGGGAGCAGGTCCAGGATTTCCTGCAGAGCCACCGTTCTGCAGCCCGGAATGAAGGCAGCGAGTGCTGGGGGGGGGTCCTGCTTCCCGTCCCTTCCCCTCTGCCAGCCACGGCCGGCGGCCCCCCTCTGCAGCAGCCGTGTTAAAATGGTTTGTTTTAATTACTGGAGCGAAGGAAAATTCCAGTGTAGGCAAAGGCTGTAAGTGGAGCAGCGCTGCCTGCCTGGCTGGGCATGCCAGGAGTGCTCGCAGGCTCCCATCCCGGCACTGCGGGGGTCTCCCGCTGCCTCTGCAGCCCTTTGTCATTCCTAAGTACCTGTGAGGTTGTGTTGTGCTGCTCCCGGTAGCGGCTGCGCCCCAGGGGGTGTTTGGAGCAGGGCTGAGACCCGCTCCCACCCTTGGGGCATCCCTGCCGTCATCACTATGGCAAAGGAGGGTTTTTCTGGGCTCCCCGGTCTGTGTGATCCCATGCATATGGGAGATGGGTGCTGTGGGGCTGGCTGAGAGCAGGCGTGGTGTAAAGGGGTGCTGGGCTGGCTGGTGCTGAGCATCCCCCTTGGTTTGTGCCTGAGCATCCTGGATGCTGACCCCATCTCCCTGCTGAGCCATGGGATTTGGGTCTGGGCTGATTTGACCTCCCTAGGGGGATACTGTGGTAGCTGCCTGGGTCTCCTGAGTGCCCACCGAATGAGTGGCACTGGTAGGGCCATGCAGGGCCCTCAGCACACACTGCTGCTCAGGGATGGGATCAGCCACTGTGGCTCTTGGTGCTCAAGGCAGCACCGTGGCTGCAGCAGCCATAGAGTATCCCACTGGGGCCATCTCCGGGGTCCCCTCCACACAGCCGGGCAGTGTTTGGGCACACAGGGCTGTGCCATGCCATTGGCCGCTGCCATGAGCTCGGTGATCATTGGGGTGATGATGGTGCCATCACCATGATGATGGTGCTCTGAGGTGTGGGGCAGGCGGGAGGGGAGCCCCCGGGTTCCCCCTGGAGCAGCTCGAGGCTCGGTGCAGGGCTGGGTTCCTGAGGGCAGAGCCCCTCTGCGGCTCCTGCTGCTCCCACAGCCCGTATCCAGGTTTCCTCCTGCGCCCCGCAGCATCCCGCTGCCCGCTCGGCCCTCGCCCGCCTCCGGCGCGGGGCCGGCCCCTGGCTCCGCTCCGCTCGCAGCCATTGCTGCGGTTTCATAACGCCGCCGAGCGCCTCCGATAAAAATAGGCTGCCCCGCTCGGCGCTGCCGCTGCCGCCGTTACATAAACGCGGCTGCGCCGGCAGAGACAGACCCGGGCCGGCGGCAGGACCGAGGGGCCGCGCTCCCGGGCAGCCCCGGCCGCTGGCACTGCCCCGGCGTGGGCCTGGCATGGGCACGGCACGGGTGATGCTCCCCCCGGCACGAAGGGCTGAGGCTGTTCCTGTCCCTCGGGACAGTGGGTTTGCTGTGATGCAGCCGTAGCATCCTGTTGGTGAGGGTGGATTTACAGCTCCCGGCCCAGACCTGATCTGAAGCAAGAAAATTTGGTTTTAATAACGAATTGAATCTTGGTTTGGATGCTTTTTTTATATATCATTATTTCTCTGGATATGGAGAAGGTTGATGCGCTGGGATGTGTTGGTTGGAATCCCGGCTCAGCAGCAGGGCAGGCGTTGATGGAGGATCTTGACTTCTTGTTTCTCATCAGGCTGACATGCTTGGTGTATGCACAACAATGATGTGGCTTGGCCTGTGCTTATTCCAGCCCTAATTTTTATTTCATCACGTTACAAAAAGATGGATGATTTTTTTTTTTATTTTCCATCTAATTATTTCCTTTTTACTGCTAATTCATCCCAAAATGATAAAAACAGAATTAAGAGGCAAGAATCAATCTTTTTAAACCACTTCTGCATTGGTTAAATAAGCCTGCATTAAAAGATACATAAGGAGAACAGATTAACAGGGCATGCATTGCATTTAAAATTAACACACCTATTAATCACCAGAGAGGCTGCCCAAGTGGTTCTGGTTGTTTATCGTGGCAGAAGGGCTCCAAGGCTGGGGGTTCAGGGTGCTGCTTCCTCGTGTCCTGGTTTTGGTTGAACGCTGTGAGAAGACATGTGGCTCTTGGGGTGTTTTGGTGAAGGATGCTGTGGGTACCAGCTCTGTGCCGGGTGGCACTGGTGGGTGATGCCAGCCCTGACTCTTCTTGTGGATGCGCTCAGGGTGCAGCAGCCGGGGCCATCCCGCTGCTTCCCGGTGCCTCAGTTTCCCTCTGGAGCTGCAGACAGGCTGTGAGGCGCAGCCTTGTGTTGCCATGCTAAATGGCAGCGGATGGTTCCTTGCCGCCTGGATGCGTGTGGGTGAGCAGAGCGCTCGTCCTGTGGGGTGTAAAATTGCTTTCCTGGAAGCCGCCCATGGATTTGGGATTAACGCGTTACCAGGGCTGTGTCTGTGCTGGGAGAGCTGAGCTCGCAGCTGGAGCTGCTCATGGGTCCTGTGCGTTTGGATCAGGCCCTGCTCCCTGCTTGAACCATGTCCCACTCCCTGCCTGAATCCTGCCCCGCTCTGTGCCCAAATCTTGCCCAAATCCTGCCCTCCTCCCTGCCCAAATCCTGCCCTGCTCCCTGCCCAAATCTTGCCCAAATCCTGCCCTCTTCCCTGCCCAAATCCTGACCTGCTCCCTGCCCAAATCCTGCCCTGCTCCCTGTCTGAATCCTGCCCAAATCCTGCCCTGCTCCCTGCCCAAATCCTGCCCTGCTCCCTGCCTAAATCCTGCCCTGTTCTCTGCCCAAATCCAGCTTCTCCGAGCTGGGTGCTGAAGCCTGGCCCAGGGGGCTGCACCCCGGGGTGCAGGGCTAGCAGGTTGATGGGGTGGGGTGAGAGCTGTGGTGGGGTGATGAAGGGGCAGGAGGAGATGTGCAGACCGTGGTTCCAAGGCAGTGAAGCATCCATCACTCCTGCACAGCCCTGCGAGCCCTCACCCATCAGTGCAGCCCCTCAGTGGTCCCGGGGGCACCCACACTGTGTAAGTTACAGGTGGGGAAACTGAGGCACGGGGCAGTGGCTTGCAGCAGGTCCTGCAGCGAGAGGCTGGGCAGCAGGGAGTCAGGATGCGCTGAGCCCTGTGCCCTGCAGCTCCCCGCCCCGGGGCTCCCGTGTGTGCTGAGCCCGGCTGGGAGGTGCTGGGCAGCCGGTGCCCGGTGGGTGCCTGAGAGCCGGGAGCTCCCTGCCCGCGCCTGGCCCCGGGGCCGGGAGCGCGGAGCTGCCGCCGGGCTCTGCGGGAGCCCCGGCTCGTCCCTTCCGCACACGTCAGCCGCGCCGGGCTCCGTTGTCCGTCGGGAACAACGAGCGGCGGCCGCAGCATCGCCCCAGCGCGCAGAGCGGCCCAGCGCACCCTGCCATGGCCGGCGAGGCGGCCGCGACCGCCCGGCGAACGTGAGTCAGCAAAGGCACCGCTCCGCTGCCGGCACGCGTGGGTCGGCAGCGCGGGCAGCGCCGTGCGATGGGGCTGGGACCGCACCACGCCCGGGCTCCCAGAGCCTTCTCCCATCTCTGTTTGGAGCCGGTGCTCGGGGCTGCGACCTGGGCTGGGTGCAGGCAGCGCTCTGCCAGCTCCAGGGGGTGGGAGGGCAACGCGTGCCCAGCTGCATCCCGCTGCATCCCGCTGCATCCCGCTGCATCCTGCTGCATCCCGCTGCATCCCGCTGCATCCAGCATCCCTGGTCTCTCTCTGTTACTGCTCTGCTCCTGTTTTCCAGGGCTGGATGCAGGGCTGGGGTAGATGACTGTGGGGGCTGGAGCTGTGGCCTCACGGGTGCCCCCAAACCCCACAGGGCTGGCCGGAGTGATGGGTTGGTGTCACTGCCAGTGCATCCTGGCCCTACTGCTGGGCTGGCCCTGGATGCTGGGGGCTGCCTGGGTGATGCAGCAGTTCCTGCTGGCCAGGCTGGAGCGTGCACTAAGCTGGCAGTTCTCAGCCTGACCCCGTCCCCAGGGTGAGGCTGAAGGTGCGTTTGGAATAGTCCTGCAGGATCCCTATGGCAGGGGCAAGGGGTCCATGGTGGTGCCAAGAGCCAGGGCCAAAGGAGGGCAGAGCCTCAGGGTGGGATGCAGGATGCGGTGGGGCTCACAGCTTCTATTGAGAGCTCTCATGGCATGCAGCCACCCTGCGCCCCGGTGCTCCCTGTGCCCCAGTGCTTTTACAGCCACTGCTGCAGGTGATTTGACCTGGTTTTGGGAGCATTTGGCCTCTGAAATGATGTCACACTTTCCATCCCACACTGAATGCCTGCGCTACGGTTACGGGAAGGGCAGCATTTGCTTTGCCCAGGCAGCAGGATGCTGATGGTGGCTCATGGTGATGGTGGCGCCCCTGTGCCGGTGTGACACCGGCCCAGCCTGGGCTGCTCATGGTGCCCAGGTTTTGGATGTGCTGGGGGGGAGAACCGGGGCAGGCCCAGCCTGACCTCACTGGTCCGTTGGTTTGGAGAGTGCTTCGTTTGCTCCGGTTCCTGAGCCGCGGCCGAGGGGCGGCTCAGCCAATGGTCCCTGTTGGAAAAGCTGCTGTGGCCGCGCTCTGCTCCCTGTCGATGTTCAAAAGGCTCTTTTCAGTGAGTCATTTTCTCTTCTGCTGTCCCACTATCCAGGGAAAATGGTGACGTTCTCGGTACAAAGTGTGTTCACCATGGAAACCAGCTGAAAGGAGGGGGAACGCCACCCCCTGCTCCTCCCAGGTTCGGCTTTGCATCCATGAGCCTTAGAAGATGGCTCTTGAGCTCCTTTGCAAGCACCAGCAAAGAGTTTGGCGTGGTTTGGGCTTTGCCAAAGCACACGGGGCCTGGGCATCTGCTCATTGCCGTGCCGGGAGCCAGGGTGCTCCGTGCCCAAGCCGTGCGGTGCCAGGCAGTGCCTGGGAGCAGCCGGGAGCTTCCAGCTCCCACCGGGACCTTCCCGAGACCTCTGTGCCCTTCAGGTGCCGTTCCAAGGACACACGGGAGCCGGCAGCACGGTGACGGTGGTGGCAGAGGGGCAGCGTGGTTGGTGGTGGGGCGATGCCCCGTGGTCCATGCATGGGAGCTGTGTGTGCGCCATGAGCATCCCTGAGGGGCTGGGGAGGGACTGTGGGGCTGGATGGGGATTTGGACAGGAGGTTTGGCTGAACCAGGGAGTGGCTTGGGGCAGGGCACCCGTTCCGTCCGTGATGTCCTGTGGGGCTGACACCGTGGGGCTGCGTGCGGGTCCCCGGCGATGCCGGCTCCGTTGGCAGCACCGCGGCCACTGGCTTCCTCCCACCACAATCGCGCCGGTTGTTCGCTCAGGCTCTGGGCAGAATAGTAATGTGGCAGCTGCAGCCGCGGCGGGGCCTGGTGGGGACGGGCAGCAGGGCCGCGGCTGCCACCGCTGTCACTGCCACCCAAGGGGACACGGCGAGGGCTGCAGTGGGGTGGTGGGTGCCGCGTTTGAGGTGTGCTGGTGCCTGGAGGATGTGGCGAGCGACTGGAGCAGCCATCTCCCCATCCTTGTGCCCTATGGAATGGAGCTGGTGTGAGGCTCAGGGCAGGAGCTCTGGTTTGCCCAGTGGTGCTTGCATGCAGAGGCAGAGCTGTTGGTGTCAGTGGGAGCAGGATCTGTCCCATGCCAGGGAGTCTCCAGCAGATCCTTCCCCTGGGGGATCTTGTCTCCAAGCTCCATGGGTGGGATGGGGCAGGAGCTGGCTCCGCCTGGGCGCTGGGGACCAGCTTCCCATCCTCCTGCTCCTGCAGGTGCAGCATCCGTCCCGCCTCGGGGTGCCCTGTCCCACTCCATGCAGGGACCTCAGCTCTGAGGTCCCTCCTGGGCTCCCCAGCCATCCTGGCCTCGGGCTGGGACAGCAATAGGGAACAGTGGTGCTGGGAGCCCCAATTCCCCCATGACCCCTAATGTGCCCCAAAACATCCTGTGACCCCCCAGGACCCCCCGGCACAGCCTCATTGCTCCCCGTCCCCCTTCTCCCCTGTCCCTGCAGACGGCACCCCCCTTAGCGAGCTTTCCTGGTCCTCCTCGCTGGCCGTCGTGGCTGTTTCCTTCTCGGGGCTCTTCACCTTCATCTTCCTCATGTTGGCCTGCCTGTGCTGCAAGAAGGGGGACATCGGCTTCAAGGTGAGCTGGGGCACGGGGACGTGGGCATCGGGGGTGTCCACAGGCCAGGCTTGTCCTGGGACCACGGGGGCTTCTCCTTGGAGCCCAGCAAAAGACAGAGGTGCCCAAAGGCTCTCAGTGCTGCTGCTGGGGCCAGTCCCAGTGCAGTGCAGGATGTGTCCTGGCTCAGGATAGCATTGCTCAGGGGGAGCTCAGCACCCCCCCCCACCTGCTGAGTGCTGCCAGGGCTCAGCATCACTGTGGGCCATACCCTGACCCAGCCAGCATCCGCACTCTGCAGAGCATGGATGCTGCAGGGCCCATCATCACCTGGGGGTCGTTCTGTGACCCAGCGGGGCTCCCCACTCCGCAGTGCCTGCATCTACGGGGCTCAGCATCCCTGCAGACCCAATCCGGACCCATGCATGCTCCGTGCTCCATGCGGGGCCAGGCCAGGGCATGGTTAAGGTCCCACCCGCACGCCCCGGGGGTGGAGGCTCCCTGACCTCACAGGCACAGAATGTGCCGAAGAAACGCTTTTTCCCTAATTGCTGGGATTTTTGTGGAGGCTCCGCGGCGCCCTGGCAGGAGGGGGGCAGCAGGACGGGGAGGGGGGGGCACGCTGGGGCCCTTGTGTAACTGTCCCACACCAGCAGCAGCACTTTGCCGTGCCGGAGGGGAACAATGAGCCGCTCGTGCCCCCGCACTGGTTATATAGGGGCCGGTGTGCGGTGCATCGCGGTGCATGGCACACCGCGGTGCCGGCGAGCTTGGCAGCACCATGAGGCAGGGCTGGGCCGGGCGAGATGCTCACCATCGCCTACCTGCTAGCCCAGGCGGCTCTCGGGTGCCGGCGGCTGGCTGGGTGGCACAGCCAGGTAACGCGGTGGGGCGGTGGGTGCCTGCCCCACGGCGGGTGTGCCATGGGGGTGCAGGCAGGGCTGCGTGCTGGAGGGGGTGATGCGGCGGCGGGTGAGGGTGCCGGGGCAGGCTGGGCAGTGGGGAACCCGCAGCGTCAGTTGTCTCTGCTGGGGGTGTGCCCCCCTGCGCACCCCCCGGACCAGGAGTTTGAGAACGCCGAGGGGGACGACTTCGTGACGGAGCTCTCGGCCCAGGGCTCGCCCGCCCCCCAGCATGGCCCCGAGGTCTACGTCCTGCCCCTCACCAAGGTCTCCCTGCCCATGGCCAAGCAGCCAGGGCGCTCAGGTAAGCCAGGACCCCCGTGTGTTGCGGTTGGGGTCCCCCATCCCCGTGTGGTGGGGTGAGGTGGGTCCCCCCCACTGAGGATGGGTGGCTCCAGTGGAGCAGGAGCATCTCTTGGGTAGGGGACAGGCAGTTGAGGGGAGCGTTGCTGCTGTTCTCCTGTACAAGGTTCCGCAGTATCTTGTCCCCAGCCCCATGCGTGGCACCGGGATGTATCCCACTGGGGTGAGATGGGGGACATGGGGGGCCCAAACTGGGACACTGGTGAGTCCCATTCCCATGTAAACAAGCCCACGAGTGGGAGAGGAATGTGGGGGGTGCCTGGCCATGGTCCCCTCCCTCCCAGCGTCACGCCCCAGCCTGGAGAATGGCAGCAGTGTGGTGGAGCCCAACAATGGCCCCATTGCTGCCTGCCCTTGGCATGGGTGCCCGAGGGGCAGGACCTGCACCGGGGTGGGGGGAGCTTGGAAGGGGCTAAATGCCAGAGCTCCGGCTGGGCTTGGCTTTGCTTTCCCTGGTCCCCAAGGAGGAGAAGGGACCACCCAATGTGGGGAAACTGGTACCCTGCATCCCGCAGCGGCTGTGGGGTGATGCCTGGACAGGAGGATGCTCTGGCTGCGGGGTGCTTGGGGATGGCTGCTCCGGAGCACCCCGGGGCAGTGCAGGGCCTGGCACCGGGTGGCACGGTGGGGACGGCAGCGCTCGGCGGGCACCGGCGGGTAACGCGTGATGGCGGGCGGGCGGGCGCGGGGCACGGGGCGCGCGGGCAGCTGGATGTGCTCCGTTACAGTGCAGCTCCTCAAGTCGGCGGACCTGGGGCGGCAGAGCCTGCTCTACCTGAAGGAGATCGGGCACGGCTGGTTCGGCAAGGTGAGCGTCGGGGCAGGGTGCCCTGGCACACCGCGGCTCCGCAGGAGGGGGTTCGGGGTGAGGATGGACGGGACGAGCCTGTCCCTCACCTCAGGTGTTCCTGGGCGAGGTGAACTCAGGCATCAGCAGCACTCAGGTGGTGGTGAAGGAGCTGAAGGCGAGCGCCAGTGTGCAGGACCAGATGCAGTTCCTGGAGGAAGCGCAGCCCTACAGGTACATGTGGGGTCACGCTGTGGTGCTGCTGCTGTTGGATGGTGCCTGGTGTCCCCCCCCCGGCCATGTTCGGCTGCTGAGCAGAGCCGTGGCTGCCCCATGGAGGTGCCTGGCCGAGCTCTTTGGGCAGCACAGCTCTGTCCCAGCCCCACCACCTCTGCCTGGGCTCATTGCCGCAGGACAAGGGCTGTTGGCTGCGGTGTGGGGGCTGCGGTGAGGTCATGGCAGAGCAGGACCGGGAGCGGGGAGGGGGGGTTGCAGAGCTGCTCCCTGCCCTGCAGAGCTGAACAAATGTCCCTTTGTGGTGTGTTCTGGGGCGCTGGGACACGCTGGTACCCGCTCCCGGCGCTCCCGGCAGCCCCCGCGCTGGTCCCGAGCATGAGGAAGCAGGGAGTTGGTTCCCTGGGGGCTGCTGCTGTCCCCCCACCATAGCCAGCACAATGCTGATGTGTCCCCATCGCTCTGCCCCACACAGGGCCCTCCAGCACACCAACCTGCTGCAGTGCCTGGCCCAGTGCGCCGAGGTCACCCCATACCTGCTGGTGATGGAGTTCTGCCCACTGGTGAGTCCTGTGTGTCCCCCTGTGTCCTGTCCCACTCCCGCAGGTGCTGCTATGGGGCAGGGTCATGAGGTACCAGGGGTATTGCGGCGCTGCAGGCAGGGTGCGCAGCATTGCTGTGCCCTGCTGAGCCTGCAGTGGGATGGTGACAGTGACGGTGATGGTGACAGTGACGGTGATGGTGACGGTGACAGTGATGGTGATGGTGGCTCTGCTTTGTAGGGAGACCTAAAGGGATACCTGCGGAGCTGCCGGGGGGCTGAAGCCATGACCCCGGACCTGCTGACCCTGCAGAGGATGGCGTGTGAGGTGGCCTGTGGTGTCCTGCACCTGCACAGGAACAACTACATCCACAGGTAGGCTGAATGGTGCCCCCCTTCCTGGGAGGAACCAGAGGGTCCGGACCCGTGCGGTACCCAGGACACCATCGCTCCCGCCCCGCCGCTGCTCCTCCCGCCCAACAATATCCTGGTGCTGAGTGAGTTGCAGATGGAGACTCCAGCATCAGTGATTTTGTTGAGGAGGGGGTGCGCTGACATCGGGGGCCACCGGATCTTCCCCACCCGCCAGGCTCTGGGGGTGGGCCCCTGCGAGGGTGCCCAGTGCTGTGGTTGGGGGGCCGGGGAGTCCCCGGCTGTGCCAGGGAGGGATGTCCCTGTGGGCATCCCGGCTTCCGTGGATCTTGCCGCACTGGGGATCTCATGTGTGCCGCCGGGAGCCCGGCTCGGTGCCAGGGCTCGCATTGCCTGGGGACACCCGCTTTCTGCTTGGCTCAGCGCGTGATGGATGGATGGACGGACGGATGGAGATGCAGCTGGAGCTGCGCGGGCATTCCTGCTGTGCATTTGGTGGCTGGTTATCGGCACACCCAGGGTTGGGCAGTGAATCCCGCCACTGCACACCCATCCTGCTGCCACCACCAGCACCCCAGTGGGGCTCCCGGGCAGCGGGTACCCCCCTGTCCCCCATGGCAGCGGTGACAGCCCTGGGGTTTGCTTGGCAGCGACCTGGCTCTGCGGAACTGCCTGCTCACCGCAGACCTGACCGTCAAGATCGGAGACTACGGGCTCTCGCACTGCAAGTACAAAGTAAGGCTGGTTTGGGGAAGGAAGGGGCTGGGGGCTGCCTGCTGGGACCCCACACACATGAAGATGAGGGGGAGCAGGCAAAGGGGAGGAAGGATGTGATGGGAGGCAGGGTGCCAGGAGGAGCAGAGGAAGGGGCTCAGGACTGGGTTGGAGGTACCATGGGGGGGATCAGGCATCGGGGTGGCTGGGGAGGGCAGGGGATGGCGGGGCTGGGGCAGCTCTTGCCGCGGTGTGGCCGGTCCCTGAACGCGTAGGTTTGACGTTCTCTTCTCGTACTGACCCTGCATACTTGGCAGGACGACTACTTCGTGACGGCCGACCAGCTGTGGGTGCCGCTGCGCTGGATCGCACCCGAGCTCATCGACGAGGTGCACGGCAACCTGCTCATCGTGGACCAGACCAAGGCCAGCAACGTCTGGTGAGCCGAGCCTGGCGGGGCAGAGGGAGGCGGCTGGCACGAGGCATGCGGAGTGTGTCGGGGTGGATGGGTTTGGGGCCACCATCCGGGAGCACTGTGTGTGTGTGGGGGGGTCCCGGTGTCCCCAGCATCCCGCCCTGCCCGCAGGTCGCTGGGTGTCACCATCTGGGAGCTGTTTGAGCTGGGCAGCCAGCCCTACGACCACTACTCTGACCGGCAAGTGCTCGCCTACGCCATCAAGGAGCAGCAGCTCAAGCTGCCCAAGCCCCAGCTGAAGCTCTCGCTGTCGGAGCGCTGGTGAGGCCGCATCCTGCCCCTTCCCTCTCCTCGTCCCCGGGCGGGTGCGGGGCCGGGGCTGACGCTGGCCCCTCGCTGCGGCAGGTACGAGGTGATGCAGTTCTGCTGGCTGCAGCCGGAGCAGCGCCCCACGGCAGAGGAGGTCCACCTGCTGCTCTCCTACCTGTGCGCCAAAGGGGCGACGGAAGCGGAGGAGGAGTTCGAGAAGCGCTGGAACTCCATGAAGCCCAACGGCAGCTCCAGCGGCAGCCACCATGGCCCCGAGCTCTCCTCCTTCCCGCTGCTGGAGCAGTTCTCGGCCGACGGCTTCCCCTCGGACGGGGACGACATCCTCACCGTCATGGAGACCAGCCACGGCCTCAACTTCGAGTACAAGTGGGAGCACACCAAGACCGACCACTTCCAGGCGCCCCTGGGCTCGCTGAGCCCCAGCAGCGCCGCTCGCTACCACGACCTCTACTACCCGGCCACGACCACGGCGCGCCTGAGCCTGGGGGTCTCCCCCTCGTGCTACGACTGCAAGCCCCCCGGCTGCCCCGGGCTGCCGGCGCCCGGCGTGGTGCCCATCCTGGGCGCGCACAGCCCCTCGCTGGGCAGCGAGTACTACATCCGCATCGAGGGCCCCGGCGACGGCGGCGCCGAGCTGGACTACGCCATGTGCACCTACAGCCCCACGGGCGAGCGCGGGCCCCTGCGGCCCCCGTCCTGCTGGCGAGCACAGGGCGCCCGCAGCGGCAGCACCTACGACTCCGACAGCAGCCCCACGGTCTCCCTCAGCATGGAGCCGCTGCTGGGCCACGCACCCGCGGGCGATGGCTCCTGGGAGTGCGCCGAGTACTACCCCTACCCCTGCCCCGGGCAGGAGCCGTCCCCCGAGGGGTACCTGCTGGAGGAGGAGCCCCCCCAGGCGGGCAGGCAGGACTGGCCCCAGCCCAGCTTCCAGCCCCACGTCTTCACCGACCCCTTGGGGGTCTCGCCATCGGTGACCTGTGCCTACACCCCCCGTGGGCGCGGGGAGCTGCGGGTGGACCCTCCGGGCGGGTGCGTGCCGGGGCCGAGCGCGGCGCCTCCGGACTGCGTGGCGGTGGAGCTGGGCGAGGAGAGCCCCCCGAGCCCCCCGCAGGCGCAGGGCGCCAGCCCCGCATCCCAGCGGCACCCCTGGGCCTCCAACAGCTCCTCCAACAACAACATCGGCAGCGGGAGCCCCGCCGAGGCGGCGGCCGGGGACAGCTGGTGCTACCGCCGCATGATCACCTTCCGCGGGCTCATGGCCAAGCCCCTGGGCACGGTGCCACGCGGGCAGCTCGGGGGGTCTCCGCCGGGACACGACTTCCGCCGCCCGTGGCAGGATCAGCCCCCCGGTGCGGCCGGCGGCTCCTCCTCCCCGTGCTGCTCGCCCTCCCCGCGGCGTCAGGCCTGGCACAGCCGTGACTCATCAACCTCAGGCCGCCTGCAAGCAGCAGCGCTGGCTGGCAGCCCCGCCACGCCGTGGGGCCCCGCCACGGCCCCCGCCACCGCAGCAGGGGCCCAGCACGATGCCCACCCGGAGGAGAGCGCCGAGGCGAGCAGCCCTGCCCGCAGCCCGCTGCCCCACACCGCGCCTGCACCGGGGCTGGAGGAGGCCGCCGCCATGGCTGGCACCGGCACCCCGAACCACAGCCCCCCCGCGGAGCCTGGCATAGATGGCTCCCAGCCCGCGCCCGAGCCTTCCGGGGCGCCTGCGCTCGTGCTCATGGAGGCTGCTGCCGACAGCACCGGCTGTGCCGCGGGCGACGCGGACCGGACACCGGACAAGACCTGCTCGAGCGCCAGCTTCCCCAGCGCGGGCGAGGGCAGCGACGAGGACACGGCCGAGCTGACCTCGGGCGTCTTCACCGACTTCTCCGGGGACTACCCCGAGCGGGCGGAGGCGGCGGCGGCGCCGGCGCCCTTCAAGTCCCTGCAGAAGCAGGTGGGGACGCCGGATTCCCTGGAGTCGCTGGACATCCCGTCCACGGGCAGCTCCTGCGAGGTGTGCAGCCCCACCGCCGCCTTCGCGCCCGCCGGCCAGCCCAAGGCCCTCGACAGCGGCTACGACACCGAGAACAACGAGTCCCCCGAGTTCGTCCTCAAGGAGCCCCACGAGCCGCGGGAGCCGGAGCCCTTCGGCCAGCTGGGGAAGGCAGCGCCGGGGCTGCCGGAGGGCGAGGGTCCGGCCCCCGAAACGCGGCTCCCCACGGCCCTCGGGGCCGAGCTGCAGAGCCTGGCCGAGAAGAACCCGTACCGCGACTCCGCGTACTTCTCCGACTACGACGCCGAGGCCGAGCGTGGCCCCAAGGATGAGGAGGACAGCGATGGGTCCCGGACCCCGGAGGCAGAGGAGGGTCCCCAGTCCCCTGTTAAGGACATAGGGAGAGCCCCCGTGCCGGGAGAGGACCCACTGCACCCCCCGGGGGCACCCGGCAGCCCCCCGGCAGCGCCCGGTGCTGCGGTGGCCGTGGGCACGCCGGTGCCTGGGGGTTTGGTGGGGGACTGGCGTGGGGCAGAGGTTGGGAACACCCCGGTCAGCCCCACGGGGCAGGTGCCTGGCACTGAGCAGCGTCCCGCTGGCACGGGGCTGGTGCCGGGCAGCTCCCTGCGCCCCGGTGGGTCAGTGCCACACAAGACTTTCCTCTTGACCCCGGTGCCGGCGAGCCCCGGGGAGCCGGTGTCCATCGGAGGGACCCATGTGCCGGAGGGCATCCCTGGACCTGGGGGAGCCGCGGCTGGGGATGAACAGACTGTGCCGCCCGCGCCGGGGCTTGGGCATCTGGGGCTGCCCCCCGAGGGGACTGGGGCAGACGATGCGCCGGGGGGCCCCAGCACGCTGCGACCGGGGGACGAGTCACCCCCGGGGCTGTCCCCACTGAAATCCCCCCGGGAGCCGCATCCCGCAGCCCCCGAGCGCCGCGAGGAGCCGGAGGAGGATGAGGAGGACACGGAGGACAGCGATGAGTCCGATGAGGAGCTGCGCTGCTACAACATCCAGGAGCAGAGCGAGGAGAGCGAGGAGGAGCCGGCGGCCGTGCCCATCGTGGTGGCCGAGAGCCAGAGCGGCAGGAACCTGCGCAGCCTCCTCAAGATGCCCAGCCTGCTCTCCGAGTCCTTCTGCGAGGACCTGGAGCGCAAGAAGAAGGCCGTCTCCTTCTATGATGATGTTACCATCTACCTCTTCGACCAGGTAGGTGGTCTGGGCAGAACAGGGCGCTGGTCGTGACCCTGTGGTGTTTTAGGGTGCCATCCTCGTCCAACGGGAGCGATGGTGGGAGCCATCCCCAGGGTCTCCTCCCACCTCTCTCCCCTTGCCCAGGAAAGCCCCACGAGGGAGCTGGCTGAGCAGAGCTTCCCGGAGCCCCCCCAGCCTTCGGGGCAGCCCCCCGAGAGCAGCAGCCCCCCCAGCCCCGCAGACCGGCTCGGAGCCTCGGATGACTCCTCAGACGGCAACGCCTCGGAAGAGAGTAAGTGGCTGGTGGGCAATGGGGGTGGCAGGGGCCAGGCTGGGGCGAGCCCACAGTGGCCTCAGCCCCCTCGATCCATGTGGCAGGCGGTGGCTTCGAGTGGGACGATGACTTCCCGCTCATGCCGGTGAAGCCGTCGCTGATGGCCTCGCTGACGGGGCCGCCGGTGGAGCCCGACCCGGCTGTGCCCGCGCTGGTGCCGGTGCAGAAGCAGGTCCTGCCCATCCAGTTCTCCCGGTTCACGGTCTCGCCTGCTCCGGTGTCCCGGTTCTCCATCACCCACGTCTCCGACTCGGACATGGACTCCATAGGAGGTGAGTCCTGAACCCCCTCGACAGCCCGCGTGGTGCAGAGCCCATGGTGGGAGCTGAGCGCGGGACACCCTGTGGCCATCGTCTGAAGGGCCGGGGGTCCCATGGGATCATTGGGTCCCACTCAACGCCGCCTCTCCATCCATTGCAGGCAGCAGTGAAGATGGTGACCGGGAGTGAGCCAACCGGGACGCCGGCACCGGCACCGGCACCGGCACTGGCAGGGGGTGGCAGAGCACGGCGGGGCCGGGAGCGGGGGCCACGCTCCGGACTTTTTTTAGGCAGATTTTCTCGGAAGGAGCTCGTTTGCTGCTGCGAGCGGGAGCGGGGCCGGCCCGGGGCCAGGCGGTGGGTGACGGCCGCGCGGGGTGCGGGTGGCTGCGGGTGCGTGTATACATAGACACATATATATATATATAGACATATATATATATATATAAATTATAGCAGTTAAAGGGTAGTGCCCTGACCTTGCTAACATTTGCGGAGTGTCTCCCCCCCCCCCAGTGCAGTCCCCCCTTGGCTTCTCACCCGTGTGTGCTCCTGAGGTGGTGTTTGTCCCCGCACCCCCTGTGCCATCCCCTTGGTCTCGCACCTCACGGCGGTTTGGCTGCCCCACGGCTGCCCCACAGCGTTCCTGCTCCATGTCACCCTGAGTGCACCCATTCCCATTCTGGTGCTGCTGCACCAATGGCTTGGGGGCCTCAGAGGGCTGGGAAGCTCCCCCCTTGCTTTTTGGGGAGCAGTCCTGAGACCCCAAGGGCTGGCAGGACCCCTGCCCCGCTGCAGTGGGGAGCAGCACGGGGAGGGCTGGTAGGGGGCTCCTGGGACCCCCGGGACCCACTGACCCCACTATTTTTGTATTTAAACAAAAGGATACCCCCCCCCCAAGCACCCAAAAGCACCCTCAAAACAAAACTTGCTGTTGATGAACCCACATTGATGCGATTTTAAGTTATTGCTGCCAAAGAGACGTAACGAGTCGGGGGGGCGGGGGGGGGGGGGGGGCACTCGTGGTTCTTCGTTCTGGTTTCTTTCTTTGTTATTTTTTGAAGTCATTTGAGGCTTAGGATCATTGTGCAATTCCAGCTTCCAGCAGGAAATAATGGAAGTAAGCGGAGCTGAGCGAAACCTTGAGATCAGGGCGGGCTCCTTTGGGGTCTATAGACCAAACCCTGAGGTGAGAAATGCCCCCACCCCAGTCCCATGTCCCACAGGCCCCGCTGGCACCCCATGTACCTGGGGCGAGGGCACACGTGCTGGTGCACGGGGACACGCACACGTACACACACACGTGCACCCACATGTGCCGGGGCTGGCGCCGGGGTTCTCTCCGTGCCAGGGCTGGCTCTGCCTTGGCACAGCTCCGGCACCGAGCCGCCGCTGGCTGCCCAGCCTGGTGCCGGGCACAGGCGCTACCCCACTGCCCCCCTCCTCACCCAGCCCAGCCTGGAGCTGTGTCCCCATCACGAAGCTGTTGTCCCCAGGGGACAGACAGAGTCCGGGGGGACCCCACATTCACCCCCAACACCCAGGGCGGCCGTGCCTGCCCCGGACCCCCCCTGCTGCTCTTTGCGTCTCCCCCAGCAGCCGAACACTGATGGCAGTTCCTGCTTTATTTGTTGTATTTCAGCTCCAACCTGGCCTGTAAACAGCACCCCCCCCCCCCCAAACCCCCATCCCAGTTCTTGCAAGCCCTTCCCTTACACTTTGCAGCGGGGGAGGGGCTGACATCCCCACACTGGCTGGTGTCACCCACCAGCAGTGGTCCACCTAAGGATACCCCTTTCCTGCAGCACCCATCCTGCTGCTCCCCAACCCTGTGCCCCTCCTCTACCCCCCTGTCTGCATCCTGCATTGCACAGCCTGACTCAGCATTGCAGGGGGGTTTGTTCATCCCCCCCCCAGACCCCCCTTGCACCCAGGGTGATGGGATGCTGCTCCCCCCCCCACCTCCAGCCCCCGGGTTTGGTCTATGGCGCCGCAGGTCCCTGCCTCTGGAGGGCAGCATGAGGACAGAGCTGTGTCTTGGAGAGTTGTTTTTAATAGAAAGGCTATTATTACATTGTCTATTTTACCAATACGGGTCATAATCGCTGTATTTTTTATCAGTGCTGATTTCCATACAGCTCCCAGCATGTGTGTCAAATAGCATCGGGCCAATAATAAAGTTTTTAAAATATCTTAAGCCGTTTCCTGCCCGGATCATTGCCCAAGGCTGGGACTGGGGTGGCTCGGGATGGAGACCGAGGATGCTCCAGGGCCAGGCGGATGCCTCCAGCCAAGGGGAACACCGAGGGGGGGGGAGGATTTTCTTGTTCATAAATTATATATTTTTCTCATAAAAAAAAATTATTTCAGGTTACATCTTGCAGGTGCCACAACTGAAGGAGGTGCAAAGGAGCCCCAGGGGCTGGCTGGAGCCTGAGGGGGCTGCACAGGGGTCCTGGGGCAGGGCTAGAAGAGGACAACGCTGGGCCAGTGGCCAAGGGGAACCCAGGCATCCGCCTCCTGGGCTGTGACGCCCCCCTAATCTGCTGCTCTGCTCCCCAGCCCCTTGCTCCTGCCCCGTGTGGTCCCCATCCATCTGCTCCAGCCCCAGGAAACGAAGCAGCAGCGCATGGACCACTGAACTGCAGCAAGAGCCATCGGAGGGGACACAGTAGCCACGAGCCATCGCGTCTGAGTGGGCAAGAGCCCTGCCTGCACGGAGACCCACCAGCAGCCACCCGTGTGCCCAAGGCTCCCGGTGCGCAGCAGAGCACCCGCTGCACTTGCGAGTACAAAGTGCAAATATGACAAACACAATGGAAAAGGCAAACTCTCCGAGGGCTCTGCCCAGCCTTCAACCGCTCGCCCACAGGAGACGCGGTTCCTGCCTGGAAAACCCTCTTCTCCCCGTTTCCATAGTGAGGATGTGGACCCCGTGCTGGCTCGGGGCGAGCGGCAGCGGGAGCTGTGGGATCGGCCCAGGAGGCAGCTTGCTCGTGGGCGCACATCCCTGCAATGAGCTTAACAAGTGTGTGTGTATATATAGATATATTTCTCTTTTTTTAACCTATATCTATCTCTTTCTCTCATGCAGCTCTAGTAACAGAGGAAGAGCAAACAGCCAAGCAAGAGGTCTGGATGGGAGAGCCTGTCTGCGGGGAGCAGGGTGCCCCTTCGCCCGCTGGGCACCCAGGCACCCCAAGGCACGCTTAAACAGAGCCCTCACCCCAAAAGGATCATTTTTCCTAGCTTATATTTTACAGCAGTACCGTAATTCCCAACTGCACCCACAGACCGGAGCCGTCCCCGGCCCGGCAGGGGCTGTGGCACCAGTGTCCCACCACCTCCCAGCCTGGAAACTGGGCTCTAGCAGGAGCTGGGAGCTGCCTACGGCACCCACCACCCCTTTGGCTTGCACAGGGTATCCCGGCTATGCTGCCTGTACCAGGGGTCCCTCCGGCTGGGCAGGGGGAGCAGAGAGACCATCTCCCCAGTGCCGTTGCTGCTCCGAAGCACAGCTCGCCTCTGGAGAGCTGTTTTCCAGCTGAGGCCATTCTCCCAGTCATGGTGAGCTGCTGCTAAGCCTAGAAGCAAACTTGCTTACGGGACTTGCTGCTGTTGTGCAGCAAAGGACAAGGCTATGGGCAGTGGTTTAACCCTCTGGCACCGAGGGGAGCAAGCTGGGTCTAGAGGAGCAAGAACTGGGGCACTAGCGGGAGCCTTTGGCTTTCAAAGCAGCAGGGTTAAATAAACTCCGCCTGAAGATGAAGTCCTGGCGGGCGGACATGCAGTGGTGAGGAGCAGGCGGCGGGTGCCGCGCGGCACAGCGGGCACCGGCGCGGCATCAGCTGATGAGCGGCGCCGAGCGGTCGTTGGTCACCGTTGGCTTCAGCTGGACGTTGGCAAAGGGGTTTCTGCAGAGAGAGAGGAAGCGGTTTAGCAGGAGGGAGGGGGGCAGCGGGGCCTGTGAGGACGGGCACAGGCACAGCCAGTGGCGACGTGGAGACACCCCCAAAAGCTTTTGCTGTGCTCGGTGCTGGGCACCCCTCGAGGCCGTCAGAGATCCTGGAGCCACCGGTCACGTTCCCTCCATCTGCCTGGGACCAGCAGCATTTGGGAAGGGGTGAAGCTGGAAATGCTCTGCCCTGTGAGCCCCTGGGCTGAGCTGCTCCCAGCTCCTCTGCTTCTCTCCCTGTTAAAGCCATGGTGGATGTAAGACGTGAGCTGGCAAGCGCTGCTGCATGCAGGGTGTTCTCCTACCTTGCTCTCCAGCAGGGCTAAAGCTGGGGCTGCTAAGCAGGGAGCCAGGGCTGGAGAAGCTGTTCTAAACCCCTAGACTGTGCTTGAATCATTTCCACACATGAGCAGCCTTGTGCTGCTATGGGGGAGCAGAGAGGGGATTATGGCTCCGTGTTTGCCATGGGACTCATGGGGACCCTCTGGCTAAGAGCAGTGCATTCAGCTGCATGCAGAGGATTTGTGCTGTGCCAGCTGGGAACCCTTTGTAGAAGTTCAATATCCAAGAAACAAGCTGAATGTGCTGGAGGAGCTCAGCAGGGCCACGGGACCGAGCACAGCCCAGCTCCCAGCACACCAGCCCTTGACCAGGCCGGCTTTTACCTACCTGGGGTAGCGGCAGCGCTTCCCAGGGCCAGCTCATTGCTGCCACAGCCCCGGCATGCACAGGTCCTGTGGCCGGAACCAGGGACAAATGCTGCTGTGACACGGGGAGCACCCTTACCTGCCCCAGGAGGCCCCCTCTGGGAGTTAACTCAGGGGTGCAGGCAGCTATCAGGACACATCAGGTCCAAACATGCCCCAGCACAGCAGCCAAGGGAGCCACAGAGCATCCCTGCATGCCCCTGCCCCTCCTGCCTGTGGACAGCCAGCCCTTCCTCTGCCCCTATGGAGCTCCACAAATCCTTTTCCTTTCTGCAACTGAGGCGATGGCCGTGAACCACAGCAAAGCCACCCCTGGGCCACCGGCCAGCCACAGCCCTGCCATCCCCAGCCACGGGTGCAGGTAAGTGTCAGCAAGACAAACACGACCATACGATTAAGCCACGTTAGGAGCAGCTGTGATTACTGGCTACCTCTGCCTGGAGCCAAGCAGCTATGGGACACTGAGGACATCCCTCCACAGCAACCCCCCAAAGGCACTTGCTGCCTCCCCCAGCCCTGCTCCCCTTCCATCCCTCACCTCTCCAAATGCGCTTTTGCTTTCCTTAGAAGATCAACGGCTTCTGCTTAAAAATAGGGTAATTAATTTCCCACCTAATTAATGCAGCTTCTTAGATCACTTTCCCCCCAGGATGCCAAAATAGATTCTCAGGACTGGAGGGAGAGGAAAGGTTGCTTTGATGAGTCACCAGGGATTGTTATTTAACTGTTTTTGTTCTGGCAGAGAAGAGCCCTTGGGATGGGAGCCCACAGCTCCGGCAGGAAAACCAGCTCATGGATCAAAGAGAAACAGGGAAGGGGCTCTCCTGGGCTCCGCAATGCCAGCGAGGTGCGTCCCGGCTCCTGGGGAAACTCCTCCCTCCCTGCCCTGAGGCCATGGCTGGGATGAGGAGGCTCCTGAGACACGTCCCAGAGGAGGTCTATAAGCAAAAGAAGCTGCTCAAAGAACTTGACATTAGTGTGGATGTGCTCCAGGGCTGGGGACAGCGATGCAGCGACCGGTGGGACAGTGGTCGCTGGACACCTACAACCAAAGAGGCTGGTTATGGGGAGCAGGGAAGCAGCAGCTCAGCATTCCCAAGGGAAGCGCGGCCCCAGCCGTCTGCGGTGCAAGGAGCCGTGCGATGCAGCGCGGTTACACCGGGAGCTCCCGCCACCAGGACAAGCGGTGACCGGGGGAGGGATGTGCTCAGCCGGGTGCAGGGGGGGAAGCAGAGCGGTGGCACCGTGCCCGCGCAGCCCCGCGGCCGTCACCCGCTGCCCAGCGCCAGCACACCCAGGGCTCGGCCCCCCGAGACCATCAACTTACTAACTACGGGCAGGGGCAGCTCAAAACCTGGCCACTTCAACATCAGGGCTGCAAGGGAAAGAGAAGGCAGGTTGGAGGACACCGGGATGCGCTCCGGCCCCTTGGTGGGAACAGAAGGTGTTGGTTAACGAGAGGCACCGGGCTGTGATCCCGCACACAGCGCCTCCGGACAGAGGAGGCAGGAGGAAGAAGAAGAAAAAGGAGGAAAAGCGGTGTTTATGGAGCTGCTGGTGCTGCGAGGAGGGGAAGGAAGGGCACGGCCAGCCGGGAGCCACCTGCGGGGAGGAGAGGCCAGGCACGGAGGGAGGCTACGGAAGGGAGGGGGGGCAGCTTCCTTCCCCCTGCATCGGCACCGCCGCTTTCCCACCGCCGGGAAAGCGCAGCCGCAGCCTCGGCATGCGACAAGCGCAGCATCAGCAGCAGCATCCTCCCCTCGAGATGCACCCGGAGGAGGGACCCAGCCCTTAAACAGTTTTAGCTGCTCCCGCTCAGCAAAAAGCTGTTTAAAGCCTCGGGGCTGAGCGCGGGCAGGCAGCGCCCGGGTATCCCCCGGCCTCTGAATGCCACGGGGATGGGGAGGGGAACACAAAAAAAAGGCATGGCAACGTGCAGCGGGCGATGCGATGGGCAGCACACAGGCACGGCAGCCGAAAAAGACACCGAGGCCCAGCTCAATGCAATAAATAAAACTTTTATTCAAACAAGAACTCAGTACAGGGCACATTTCTCTCTCTGGCTTTTAAAAAAGGGTTTTCAGCACTTTACAATCTCCATACAGGCTTCACTAGGCTGGGGTGGGGTTTCACATTCCACCCCCCCCCCCCTTCTACATTTAATCATTCAGCATGAAATATCCTGTGTTAAAAATCTTTAGCAAAAGGACATCGATGCAAGAGGGTCTTGTTACAGTCCGCCCATAGGCGAGTATAGAAAACAAAGCCGTGTCCGTGTGTGTCTATTGCCAGCAATGTCCCAGTAAACAGGCAATGTGACAGGTTGTAAAAACCACACCAGAAAAAGAAAGCGTGGACAGCTTTGCAGTGGAGACGGGCACGGGAAGGGCTCTGCACCCCAAGTGCCGAGGGGAGACCCCCGGGTGCTGCCGAACCCCCTCCCCGGCCAAGCCGGGGGTAGGGATGCGGCCCCGCACCCGCCCCAGTGCTGACGTGAGGTAACAATACCTTGCTACAAAAAATATATATATATATTTATAAAACAACCAGGAATAACCCTTCCAGGGGGGCTGCCGGCTGCGCCCCACGGCCGGTGGGACCCCAGCCCTAAAGCAGCCCTTTCCCCGGGGCGGGGGGCTCTGCGCTATCCCCTTCTCCCAAAGCCACCACAGTGGGTGGTTGGGTGGAAGCGGATGAGGCTGGGAACAGCATCCCGGGTGCGGGCATCCCGGATGCTCAGTAACAGTACGGACACCAGAGGCCATGCATATTTGTTCCAGTGTGGGAGGTTGTGTCCAGGCTCGTGCGAGGCGCTGGCAGCCCCGGAGGAGGGGTGATAGTGCATCGCTAACGGTCACAGGGGGTACAAAAAACCGGGTCCCACTAACGTGTCAACTGCATCCGGGCTGCGGCAAAGCGAGCGCGGCCCCAGCGGCAGTTTCTGCTCGGAAAAAGGCTTCAGAAACAAGGGCACTGTGAACACCGGGGGGGGGGTGGAGAAGCACCATGGTTTCCTTGAAGATCACAAGAGTTTAAAATCCAAAGGAAGTAGAGAAAGAGAAATGAGGGGGAAAGAGAAACAAAAAGAAGTGGGGAAAGAAGCAGAAAGCTCTTCCAAGCAGCCGCTAGCCAAGGTGTCCTCACACCGTTGATACCAAACTGCCACTGCCACTGCGGAACAAAGCACAGGAGACTGCCAGAGGGGCCGGGAGCACGGCACGCACCGCGAGGCAGCCCCGTGCCCGGGAGCCCAGCTCCACGGTTCAGTGCCATGGGGACCGGCACCGGAGCGGGGCAGAGAGCTCGGCCCCTGCCCATCACCACTCAGCTCACAGCCCCTGTTTGGGGTTATCCCCAGGAGTGAGACGGGGCTGCGAGGCAGAGGGGATGGGGATGGAGGAGCTGCTGGGTGGGAGAAGATGCTGGGGAATGACCCCAACCGTGTGAGCTCTCCGTGGCCCTGCTATCCAAAGGAGGCTGAGGAGGTTGACTCTCTCCGGAGGAGCATGAGCCCATGTGGGGTGCAAGGTCAGGGACACAGGGGCTGCCCCAGGACCTGCCCTCCCCTGGAGACGTTGGGTCCCTCCATGCTCGGACGAGACCTGCACCGTGTTCTCCACCACACAACCTCATCCCCACCACTGCGCATCCCCTGGGGAACCCACATGGGGACCCCCATGGGGACACGGCTCAACAGCTTCACCCAGAACCAACACAAGCAATTCCCTTTCAGGTAACGCGACAGGAAGGTGAGGTCTTACCTGCTGACCGACCTCGTCCCGTAGTCATCAAGACCCTGCGGAGAAGAGGGGAGGAAGCGTGGTGAGGGGTGGGGGACGTGGGGCTGAGCCCGTTCAGGTGCCACCGGAGGGTCACACCAACAGACCAAAGTGCATCAGGACCCAGGACCAATGCATTTGGAGCGGAAAGGGGGAGATGGAGATGATTCGAATGGGATTTAGGGAGCAGGAAGTAAAGTGGCTCCACTCTCTTCAGAGCAGGACTTTATCCAGCAAGCCAAGGGAAAGCAACAGGCAGGAGAGCCCCAGTCTGCTCTGCCCAGCCCGACTGAGGTGCACGGCTCCAGTTGCTTTTGAGATGTGAGACACTTGAGAAGGGATTGAACAAGTCACCAGTGAAACGCACTGTGGAAGGTTTCTCTGTATTAACTCCCACCAGAAACCCACAGGGTTTTGGACTATTTTCTCCTTCAGCTGCTACTGAACAGCCTGTACAGCAGGGAAGGACTGCGCTGGTCTGAGGAGCAGATGGGGACCAGGGCTGGAGCATGTACCTTGAGGACATCGCTCCTTGGGTGAGGACTTGCCCTGGGATATGACCATGGAGCAGCCCCACTTCAGGACAGAGCAGGAGTCACTGGCCATGCAGCATGGATCAGAGACCCATATTCCCATGGTCCCAGGAATGCTCCCAGTCACAAAACCCCAAATCCAGCAGCAAACCCCACTGGGAAACCCCAGCAGACATCAAGAAGTGGGGCTGCAGAAAGGACCAGATCCCACTGGATCTGCTGCCTCTCCAGAGCATCCTGCTGAAGGGTTGGGTGCTGCATGGCTGCCTCTCCCCCTCCTCATCCTCTCCCCATCTGCCAGCATGTGCCAAGTGCTCTGGGCAAGCCAACTCGGCTCCATCCTCATTGTTCTGGTGGGGAAGCCCCACTGCTCCAGTGGTTCCTGGGTAAAGCCGATCTCATCCATACGTGCATCCTCCCATCTCATTAGCTCAGAAGCCCTGAGCTCATCTTGGACACCACCAGAGCCCTGGTCAGGGTCTGCCCCAGCCCCATGCGCTCACCCCAGCATCCCCACGGGACCATCACTGGCTTGACCTGGACTGGGCCAGAGAAAACGCTTCCAGCTGCCTGTGAACAGCCTGTTTCTGGTGGGAGGCTCCCATGGAGTCAGCAAGTGTTGTCCTTTGGGGGTTTACGGTGGCATTTTGTGCCATTTGCTCCCTGTGCCTTGCCTGTTCTGCCCAGGTGACCCAAATTGGCCAAACCTCCCCATCCACTGCTCTCCCCTCCCACCGTCTCCCTGCGTCCCCCGCCCCACCTCCTCAGGAGAGATGCTCGGAAGGAGATGTGGCCCCAGGCAAGGCCCATGGATCACCAGGCAAAACCAGCCAGCTGCCCGTAAATCCCAAGGGAAACATTGCTTGTGTTCGGACTTACTGCTGTCGACCTAGTGTAAGGCTTGTAGTGGGCGGAGGGTGGTTGGCAGAGGCCACTGGAATAGTCTTTAATTGCACAACCATAGGGCATTAGGTAGTCCTACAAACAACGAACAGAGGTTGGAGAGCAGCCCTCCGTGGACCGAGAACACGCTTAACACATTTCATCCTGCTTTACAACCACCGGCGGGATGGAGAAGCTGCGGACCCCCGGGCCGGGCTCCAGCATGCACTAACGCCCCGGGGTTCGCCCAAGCATCTCCTGTGCATAAAGCATCCCTCCCGAAGTGGGAGCAGCCCCCATTGCCCCACGGGCTCACCTGGGAGAAGGCGGGCACGGCCACGCTGTACGGCCTCTGCTTGAAGGTGTTGGCACCTTGTGCCGGGAAGGCTTGGGAGGCCATGCCGTAGTCCGGCGGTGGGATGGCGATGTCGTCCTTGTCCAGCAGGTTGCCGGTGCTGCTGCTCTTCCCTTGCTGCAGGCTGGGTCGGGGGGACCAAAGCAGAGGCATCAGCACCAGGCCAGCCCAGTTTGAGACCCCCCCAGGCTGTCCGTCCACCCACACCGGCAGACCCCATGGCCAGAGACCCCCTGAGACAGCTCCTACCTGCCTGTGCTGGGAGCTATTCCTGACACGCACTGTGCCCTGGGGAAGTGGACTGTTCATAGAACCATGGAATGGGTTGGAACGAGCCTTAAAGCTCCTCCAGCTCCAACCCCTGCCACGGGCAGGGACCCCTTCCACTAGAGCAGCTTGCTCCAAGCCCCTGGCCTTGAACACTGCCAGGGATGGGGCAGCCACAGCTTCTCTGGGCACCCTGTGCCAGCGCCTCAGCACCCTCCCAGGGAAGAGCTTCTGCCTCAGAGCTCATCTCAGTCTCCTGACTGTCAGTTTAAAACCAGTCCCCTTTGTTCTATCATTACGTGCCCTTGTAAGAAATCCCTCTTCCATCATCTCCATCCCAAGCCCACAGTTCTGCCCTGGGAGGAAGTGGTGCAGCCACCCACCCAGCACAAAGCTCCTACCTCGTGTGGACCCGCTCGCTGCCATCATTGTCAAGGACCCGTGTGTAGGAGAAAGGAAACCAGCCCCTCCTGGAAAGCAAAGGCAGGGATGAAGCCAAACCCACGTTTACACACGGAGAAGCCAGCAGAGGCTGCAGCCGGCGCGCGGCGGTTCCCAAGGACAGCCCTGGCACTCACAGCTTTGTTTTCTCACTCTCCCCATAGTGCCAGCCGTCCCGCGCCTCGGGCACCAGCAGCGTGATGAGATCGCCCTCCTTGAAGCTCAGGAGGGTGCTGTTATCTCCGGCAGCGTGAGAGAAAATGGCCTGCACCCTCGTCCTGCCGTTCCTCTCGAGCCCTGCGGCCATGGAGCTGGACCGTGGCAGTGTCTTGTTTTCAGCTGGTGGGAGACAGAGACCAATGAGCACCTCCAAGTCCTCCACGCTGGGGCCATACCCAGGCACAGCCCAGTGGGACCAGGGGCAGGACAAGCCTGCTTATCAGGGGTCCCTAACCCTGCCTAGCTCACCCATGTGCCAATATAACCTTCACTTTCCCACCCTCATCCCAGGCAGGATGAAGCCACCGCTCCTGGCATCTCCCCCACCAGCCACGGGTGCTCCCTGGGCCATATCCCTCAGTAGAGTCCAGCTCTGCTCGTTTCCCACCCCCGGCTGCAGAGGCGCAAGCAGCGCTATGCCGGAGGGATGCTGCCGGTCTCTGCCCCAGCACCAGCAGCATCCCCATGGGGCACGGAGGGAGCCTCACCTGAGGCGTAGCTGTTTTTCGGTGGCACGTTTTTGCGAACTGGGAGTGTGTTGGAGTAAGAGTCACTCAGCTGCTTCTGAGGCTGGGGAGGAGATAAAGATTTGGGCTGTGCTGGCTTCATCTCAGACCAGTGGTTGTACCCGTCACTGTCTGGGCCTGAGACTCCGTTCATCACCGGCATGGCCTCCTGCGCCGACATGCGCTACGGAGAGAGGAAGAGGAGGGGGGGAAGATGGGGAACGGCTTCATTAGGGCATCCCACTGCAGCTCCCGCAGCGGGAGGGGGTGCACAGCAACCAGAGCTTCAGGCTGGTGCGCTCAGCTCCCACCTGAGACAAACTGCTCTGGGGGAGCAGGGGGGTCACCTCGGTGGTGCCTGACTGCCCCAAGCTGACCTGCACCTGATAAACCCCTCCTGGGCTCAGCTCATGCCTCCCCATTGGGGGACCCTTTTCCTGCCATGGGTCACTCCCAGCGGTTACTGGGGTATCTCGGTTCAGCCCCACAGCTCTGGGACCACCCTGACCAGGCGAGTCCAGCTCATGGGTTCCCCAGTTCACCCCCCCCAAGAGCCTCTGCAGCCCCTGCCCCTCTGAAAGCAGGATGGGATGGGGACAGGCTGCCCATTCCCATGCCAGGCTCCTTCCCACATCCCAGGGCAGCACATGCATGGAGCTGCCCATCCCTGCACATCAATGGCAGTCCACCAAGAGGCAACTTGCTGAGGACAACGGTGACACTGGCCCGGGCTCGTCCCTCCAGCTTTGCTCAGAAGGGCAGCACAGCTTCCACCACGGAGATACTTACTCCTACAAAAGGTGCCAGCTCCGGGGGGACAGGGAGAGGTTTGGCACCAGGGATGGGGTCAGAGATGATGAGGTTGGATTTGGATGTAGACAGAGGGCTGGGCATAATGGTGCCATTGCTGCTGGCAGCCATCTGCTGCATCAGTTGGATAGCGCGGTCCGGGATCTTGTTGGGATCCGAGCAGGACTGCTGCCACAGCGGCAGCTTCTGTGTCAGCATCTCCTTCCCCTGCAACAGAGAAACGAGGCGTGAGGGCACAGGAGCTGGCCTGATCCTGGCCACGAGACTGATCGGCTCCTCTATGCATGGCATGGGTGTGATAACAACAGGGACTTACCACTTCCAGGCTCTGCCAGCAGCTGGGCCAGGAAGGTGGCATGAAAAATGGCAAGGAGGGAAGGAAAAGGTCATTTATCTCCCCAGCTTATTCTGATGTATCCTGCATGGGGCAGCTCTCAGCCACCGGGCTCCTCGTGGAACAGCATCAATGGACCGAGCAGGGACATAACCCTGCCCGAAGGCCTGACAGGGCTCAGCCTGTGCTCTGTGCTGTCACCCATACCCCAGGGAATGAGCTTCTCATTTAGGGCTGTTCAGCTCTGGCAGTCCCTGGCCCTGGCACCCTGCAGCTGAACCCCTGTTCCCTGGCCCTGGGGCAGAGGCTGACCCGATGCCTCTGACTGACCTCTCAACTGGTCTCATCGGGGCACAACCTGGTCCCCATGGATCCAAACATCAATTCGGAGGTCCCGGAGCGTTTCCGCACTGGCCCCAGAGAGGCACAGCCCCATCACCCAGCCACTGAGCACCCCCCGGAGCCGCAGCAGTGGAGCGGGGGCCAGGCTGGAGCGGGGCCAGGCGCCCACCTCGTGCATACACCCCCCGTGCTCGGGGTGAGCCGCCCGCAACGTCCCCCCTGCACCATCACCCTCCACGTGCTGCTGCCGCTGCAGGGAGCTGCGGGGTTCACCGTGCTGCAGCCACGCTGCGGGTCGCAGCACCCTCGTGCCTGCTGATCCCCCCACTCCCAGGGGGGACGCTCCCCTCTCTGCTCCACAGGAGGAGTTCACATGTGCCAAGCATGCATCCAGCCCGCAGCGCGAGGAGCGCGCTGACTAATCCAAACTCCTGCTCCGTGGTGCCAAGCGCGGTGGTGACAGATGGATGCTGTGAGCAACGGGGGGTGGCGGTGGGGAACAACCAGAACAACGGGAGCATGAGGCTGCAGGAGCAGCGCTGGCGTTCCCAGCCCTCATCCGCACAGATTCTGCTCTGCATCAGTGCAGGGAGCCGCTGCTCCCCAGGCTGGCTGGCAGCAGCTCCAGCCCCTGGCTCAGGAGATGTGGGATGCCAGGAACAGGCAGGAGCGGGTTTGGAGCAGTTTAATCTCTGGTTTAATCCCCACCTTGGTAAGGCCAGGAGGTAAGGCACAGGTTGAGCAGGCAGGCAGCACTGCCTGACTCAAGCAGGAGCGGTGCTGCTTTACATTTCTTCTGCTTTTACAGGTCATGGAATCACAGAATGGTTTGGGTTTGAAGGGACCCTAAAGATCATTTAGTTCCAATCTGTTTGGGACAATGAGCTGAAGCAGGAGAAACCTGACTGGCCTTTGCCAGGACAGAGCCCTCACACCTCAGTGACCACAACATGCAGGAGGGGTGAACTCAGCCCCATTCACCTACCACAGGTTCTCCTGCATAGGTGAAGTTGTGTCACAGAGGGACCGGACTGCTGGGGTGAGCCAAATGCACAATACACTGCCAGGACCTGCCATCACCACTCAAGCAAACCAGTGCCAGTCTCATCGACCTCCTGCAGCCAGAAGCCCCTTTTGAGATGCAGAGCAGCCCCAAAGGGAGACGTGCCCCCTTGTTCTGAGGAGGGTGAAGTCCTTCATCTCCCAGTCCAGAACACATGCGTCTCCCAGGGCACCCTGTCTGTGGGTCACCCACTGGTGTATTCCTTTCCCTCTGCACCAGCTGCAGCTTTCGGGATATCAGCCTGTTCTATAGGCAACAGGAGCATCCACCTGGGACCTGCAGCCCTGCAACTGCAGGAGCATGGCATCAGAGTGGCATCTCCAGTGGGACTGACTCACCTTGGCATGGTAGGTGATCGCACTCTTGGCTACTGCACACTGTTTCTCCACCAGGAAGCAGAACCGTCTCCTCTCTTCCGTGAGAGCTGTCTTATAGCCATCAGAGACGTAGTTTTCCAGCTCACCTTGCTTGTTGCTGATGGCTTCGATGTACTAGAACAGAAAGAGGAGCACAGGGGTGGCTGCCTTCATTATTTTGGTAGTTTTCCTCTCCGTGGGCAGGGCAGGGATCACAGAACGGTTGGGGTTGGGAAGGACTTTAAAGCTCATCCAGTTCCAGCCCCCTTCCACGGGCTGGAGCCGGTGCCAGTGCAGCAGCATCCCCTGGAGAGGGGTCAGCAGCGCAGCAGGCAGGGTGCTTGCAGGGTGCTCGCGGGGTGCTCGCGGGGTGCTCGCAGGACCCCCCCGCACAGGACACGCACACGTGTGCCTCCAACCCGCCTTTACTCACCAGAACCCCCCCACGCAGAGGCGCTGACTCAGCACGTGGGCTGGGAGCCGGGACGAGCTGTACCGGGAGCAGCCGCCTGCTCACCAAGCGGGCCCCGGAGCCGTGCCCGGGCGCTGGGGGGGGGTGCCCGCATCACCCGGGCTGGCAACGGACCCCAGCGCTCATCCCCGCAGGGCACAAAGCACCGCGGCACCCAGGCTGAACACCGCCAGCGCCTGCTCTGCTGCTGCTGCCCATCAGTGCCTCTGAGGATGGGGCAGGACCGCGCTGCTGAGAGCTGGGGACCACAGGGGGACAGCACTGAACCCCTCCAAGGCACAACCATCGCCAGCACCGAACTGGCTGTGACCACCCAGCCACAGGGTAGGCGGTGCTGGGGACACCAGGACAGCGCCAGGGCAGGGCTGCCTGCTGGCACAGCACCGCCGTGCCCGGTCACAAGCAGCACCGGGCCACCGGAGCAGCCGTTCCTTGACGCTGCACCCCGGGGCTGTGCAGACACCGGGCCCCTGCCAGCGCCTGCAGCAGCGGGAGGCTCCTCTGCTGGCACAGGCTCGGGCTCCACCGATGTGACTTGTGCCAGCACGGCTGTGCCACAGAGGCTTTGCCAGCGCCGTATGGAGCATGGAGGCAGCACATGGGGCTGGGATAACTCAGACACACAGGCTGTCCCATGCGATGCAAACGTGGCACATGGAAGGGCTTCAGAGCAATGCCTGGGACCGCAGGGCTGCTGCTCGGCCCCACCATCAGCATCCCTGAGCACAGAGGGCATGAAATGCCCCCAGCTCCCTGACCCAGCCACTTTCTCCTCTCTCAATCCTCTTGGGATGCACCCAGCTCCTCTGCAAGGAGCCTCCACCCCTGTAGCACTGTGAGAGCAGCCACCGAACCTCTAAGAGGAGCATCTCCCTCACTCATCACTGTCCTGCCCTCCAACACTCCTTGCCACCAGCTCTTCCCCAGGACACTGAGAAGCCACAACCAACCACACAGCTCAGGCAGTGCTAAACCTGCTTCAGGAAGTCTGAGCTTCCCTAAGAAAGGAATTAACTGGAAATTCAGGGTCCAAAGCAGCTTTAGCTCTTCCTTCATGTTTAACAGTTATTTTTAGCATGTTACAATATTTATCAGCAGGCACATGAACTAGAACAAACCTCAACAAAAGCAGTAAGATTAAATGACATCCCAGACTTCAAAGGGGGCTTTAGTTCAGAGCTGGACCTTCTGCTGCTCCAACCCTGCTCAGAGCATCCTCCCAAGAGCAAACCCCATGTAGAACTTGTACTGCACCCAGTGGGTTTTGGGTCTCCCCACATTCATCAACATGGATGGGGAAAAGGGGGTATAACTGAGAAATGGGTAAAAACTCCTGTTTCAAGGAGTAATTTTTTTCCCCAAATGAAAAAATCCGGTGCAAACACCTGCATTTAGGAACAGAAATAAATGAAGGTGACTGAGCTGACAGCACTGGGTGCAGGAGCAGAAATAACGGAGGTATTTGCATCACCCCCAAGCGAAGCCGCAGGGAGAGCCCAGCTGGATGGGGACTGGCAGGGACACAGGGGAGGGCACTGGGAAAGGCAGCAGGCACAGAGGCACCGGGGCCAGCATGGCGCAGGGAAGAGGCAGCAGCAGCCCCGGGCACATGCTGGCGGGTGGGAGCAGGCGGCTGTGGGAGGATGCGAGCAGGGAAAGCATCATTCCCTGGAGTGGGCTCAGGACCCAGCACACCGCCTCCTCCCGGGTATTATTAGCCCCGGGAATAGTACAAGGACAGAGCCCAGAGGCGTCAGCAGTGGTGATGGGAGCCAGGAGAGAAAGATGCTCCAGCGCCAGCCCAGAGAGCTGCAGCTCCCCCCAGGTCCAGTGCCGCAACCCCTCTATCGCAGTTCGGTATGGACCAAACCCCACTATCCCCACATGCCTGCACCACAGGTAGTTCCTGACGAAGTCCCCTTCCCTTCTCTCCGGAGGGAAGTGGCGGGATGATGCTCCCCATCCTGCAGAGCCCAGATTCTGGAAGGAAAGCACAACCCTCACAGCACCTGAAACAGGAGCGCTGGAGCAATGCGGACCTGGACACCCTAAACTCATCTTGCTTAATTTCCTAAGTGGGCCATCAAGAACGAGAAGGTGAGGAGTGAAATGAGTCCACCTCCAGCTAATGAGCTCAGTAGCACAAGGACCATAGCACCATGATTCAGGATAACAACCCCCTGAGCAGCAATGGCCCAGGTACAGTGGGTAGGCTCTTGGCCTGAGCACATCATACACTGCAACACAGGGGAAATTCTCCTTCATCTTAGCAATGTTAGGTTTTTAATAGTGATTTACATATGCAAATTAAAGCCTTATTTACATCCCTAATTTAAATCTTGTTTTGTAAGTATATTTTAAATTATTTCACTACAGAAAAGCTTGTCTTAATGCCTGCAGCCAGTTAGAACATGTCGATTGCAAGCAGAGAGCCTGTGCTCTAAACTTAGTATTCTCAGCACTTTATATACTTCATGGAAATATGCTCGATGTGCCATTGATTTATTCAAGCCTGGTTTACACATTATTACATTACAAAATGGCGAGCCACACTCCTCGCTCACGAGACAGCTTTCATTTTGGATCTGCTCAAAATGACAATGGGCTTTCAAATAATGCACAGTAAATAAAAACCTGGCTAAATAGGCCAGATGCACAGGAAAAAAGCGCAACACGCAGAGCACGGTCTAAGATCTCACTACTCTGTGCTAAGGAGAAGCACTGCCTTTAACCAGCAAGCAGTGCTTTACCTGCAGCCTGGTGCCCATTGGGCTCACTGCTGCTGCTCAGGTCTCCTTTCCCCCTGGTACGGGGGGGATCTGGATCCAGCCTGCATTTTGAACCCCCAAAACCCCACATTTCTCAGCTTGGCACGACCTGACAAGCAGTGGAAGGAAGGTGCCTCCCCGCTGGTGTCTTCAGGCTCCGTGGCTCAGCAGCATCTTCTCCAAGACCTCACCAACAAGCACTCAAGCTCAAGCACTGCCTTTAAATTCAGACCGTGGTTTAGGCTGTCTAACAACTAACTTCAAAGGCAGATTTTCAGTTTCACCTAAATAAAAGCCCCAGTTTAAAGGAGGAAACGAAACCCCATTTGTGACCGGAGCACTTGAGGGGCAGGAGCCAGCCGGGGCTGTGCTCGCAGTGCTCACGGCCGTGCCAGAAGCCGGAGCACGTGCCAGAGCCACCCAATAGCTCCAGAAACCTTTTTCTGGGTTTCTAGGCTGGAGAAACCTCAGATAACTCCCCCGTGCCCCCCCGAACACAGCACTTCCAGTGCACCGGGAGCCGCTGACCTAATTAGCAATGTCAGTGTGCGGCAGCGCCGGGCAAGGGGCTTGGTTTAAGAGGCTGCCGCAGCTCAGGATCTGCTGCAGGCAGAGCGATGGCTCCTGCCCGGCCCGGGGAAGCTGCAATCCCAAGGCAGGAGCCTGGTCCCAGCACGCAGGGAGCCTCGGTGGTGGTGGCTCAAGCAGGGACGCGCTGATGGGTGATGAGCGATGCTGGAGCAAAGCTTGGCCATGCTGAGTGCCCCCATAGCCAGGCAATGCCCACGCTGAAACCAGATCAAGTTACCTAACGGGTCAGACAGCACATTAGGGACAAGGAAACATGAAAGAGGAAAGAAGATGCTGCAAAGTCCCAGCTCAAGCAGCAGCTGTCACCCCCAGCACAGAAAAGCCAGGGCACACAATGGCCCTGCTGCTTACACCGACATCCTCTCGCCACCACTGCAAAGCTGACAGCTAAAGGTGTGTGAGGATTGGAAAACAGCTGAGAAATGTCAAGACCTGGGTCCTTTTCAAGTGCACATGGCAATCGGTGTAGTTAGTGCCGGTGAAACGGCAACATCATCCCTGAGCTTCAGTCAAGCTCTCTATAACCACCCTTCCTACTGGAAAAAATTAGTTCAAACTGTTCTATCTAAGCCAGGAATGTGCAAACGAGTCAGGAACAGGAGCCAAGGGCACTGCCAATCACCATGAACACAACTGTGGAAATCGTCCTTACATGCATTTACCAACCAGGAGATGCCTCTGTCACAGCCGGTAATGCAGGCTGAGGGAAGGACCAGCCACAGGGACAAGAGGGAAGCAGCAGCAGGCAGCAAAGCCACCTTCCAGGGGTCACCAGCCAGCAAAGCCACCTTCCAGGGGTCACCAGCCAGCAAAGCAATGAGCTGTGAGACCAGAAAGGCAGTAACACAGGATCACACGGTGGGAGATGCAGAGCAGGAAGGGGACTGCGCCTCTGTAGCAGCCCCAAACACAGCTCTGGTCCCATGGAGGGACAAGGAAAAAAGGGGAAGGGAGAGGACTGTGGGCTGTGCTGGACCGCTGTGGCAGGCTGGAATAGCTGCAAGGAGTAAACACCAAGAGAAGGGAGGATTTATTTAAGGAACTACAAGGGAGAATAACTGGAAAGTCCTGGGATAAAATAAGAAAGAAGTTAGGCTGATTAACAGAGGGAGAGCATCTAAGCTGTTGAGTAGTCTCTCAAGGAAAAACAGCTGAAACTATCACAGCATATAGCCAAACTGAGGAAGACACTGAGCGTGGGGATCCTCAGCTCCAGTAGCTCCTGGGGAAGGATGCAGCTTCTCCTTATTCCCAGAATTCACTCCTTGCATGGAAGCTGGTGGACCCTGGCGCAGCCTTGGGGAGATGCCATTCCCTCCTTGCTCCCTCCAGCCTCCAGCATCACCCAAGTGTGTTACAGATGGAGAGGGAAGTTGGTCAGTTTGTTTAGCTGGACACAGCGATACCCAGTGATGGATTCAAGCCCTGGGATGTCATTGGCTCTTCCCAGCAGAGCACAGCTGGGAAGGAGACCAAATTGTGATAGTAGTAAGGCAAATAAAGCATCAGACACAACCGACATCTCCAGACAGCGAAGGTCTTTCAGTGCCAGCACTGTGGTACCCACCATCCTGGACTGCCCCAGCTCCATCACCCCGCAGCCAAGCCCCTCCCCGGGATGCTGCGGATGCTGCTGCACTGATGGGTGTCAGAGGTGAAACCAGACTCAGAGCAGCTCCCAGGGAGCACTGCCCTGCTCCAAGGATGCCAGCCTGCCTTTGCTCCCCTGGGAAGGGCTGTCTCTCCTCGTTACGCTGCCTGTCTCACACATCTGCTCATCAGGGCATCAGCCGGAGCCTTCCTGCACCGTTCCTGCAAAATGCCATCCACGCACACATGTGATATTACATAAAACAGAGCAAAACAGCAGGCGAGCGCTCTCCCAGCCGGCTGTGCGGGGGTTTCAGGATCAGCTGCTTAAGCTGTTCCTCGATACAGGGACACCCTGATCAGCGATGCACAAGGCTGGGTACCAAAATGCTCCTCAGACATGGCCCTGACCTGCACAGGGACCCGCAGACCAGCTTCCAGAAGAGGCATTTGAGGCATTTCAGTCCAGACAAGTTTAAGACTTCCCCTCCCTGCAACCCTGACTGCATTTGCTGGGTTTGGACACGCATCCTAATGCAGAGTTACCTGGAGCCACCGAGCTTTTACACAGTTCTTCCCTATTTGACTTTCACATAAGCCCTCATAACCTGGTTTGTGCAAACTCCTTGTCAGTTAGAGCTGCTTGACCTCTACCTAAAATTATTTCTCCTGATGGGAATCTCAAATGGGGTTTCAATTACAAAAGCCTATTACCCCCCCCCCCCCCAAGTTATTTGGCACAGTGGTATTTAACGCGTAAAATATTCTCATAGGAATAGGTGTGGACAAAGACAAACCTGGCAGGAGCTGAGCTCAGTGTCCACAACCCATGACCCAGGTTGTGCAGGGCTGGGAAGAAGAGGGAGCTCCCTCTGCCCCCCCCGGGAGTTACCAATGCAGCTGCTGAACCGGCATGGATGTGCCAAATCCCTTTTGGCCGGGTCAGGCACAGCCTTTCACCGCAAACAGCCACGTTCAGCTTTGCTCTTTAGGATGAATTACAGCCAGCTTCGTCTCAGGCTGATGGAGAAATCCAATTGTTCATAGAGCTAATATGATTTGATAAATAGTTTGAACCAACATAACTTCATTGTTGGGCTGCTGATTCAATCAAGGTCCTAAACCCATCGTGACCTTGATTTCACAGCTTGATCACAAGCAGCGTTTAATGAAATTACAGCAGTTTAGCTTCCTTGGTGACTGTTTCACCTGAATATTGGTTTTATTCTTCTCCATAAAAGACATGAAGTGAATGGCATTAGTTTATTCTCCCAGTTCTCAACACAGGTCAAAAAACCCCTCAGTAACTACATAACTAAGATGAGACATTGGAGGCAGTTTGGTGCCTCAGCTTTCATTCCTCGTGTTTAACAAAAGCTCAGGACTGATTCATAAGGAACAAAAAGCCCAGCTTTATTGTGACATTCAGCACTAACAACCCACAACCACAGCATCTCTTTTGACCATGACAGACAAAGCTTTGGAGATGGAAAATTGCTCCTGCAGCCTAATTGCACTCTGAGCTGCTTTTAAGCTACGTGAGTTGTCTTCACAGCAAACCACAATGTGTTTTACATCCCCAACCATTTTAATCCCATCCTCACCTATTAAACTCCACAAAACAAGCACAAGAAACAGTGGCGAGATGATGCGAGACCTGCAGACAAACCTGGATCAGCTCTCGCCATGCAAAAAGTGACTGATGCAGCTCAAGAGATGCTTCCTGCAAGCATCCGTGAGCATCACGCTGCTGCCTGCCTCCAAGCAGACCTCAATCCCTACGTTCCCAAAACTACTGCCCAAAAGCCACAAGAGAGTCAGTTATGTGCAGTGCCTGCTGAATATCAGCATTTATTTCTGCTTTACAAAGAGGGATAATCTAAACTGAAGTCACAGGTAAGAGGTTTGGGCTGATCCGTTGGGTTTTCGGATCACTCTAGCAGAGCATGGAGACAAACCACGCTGGTACCTGGCTCAGGTGAGGGCTGTCCTCTGCCCCCAGCAAATCAGAGCCTGAGCAAATCTCTCACCTCAGCAGTGAGGGGATGTTACAGAAACCACATCCTGGAGCTCTGGACAGCTCTGCCTCTCCCACCAGGCTCATCTCACTGGCAATGACAAGATGCGGTCACTTAACAAGTGGTGAAAAGGCAGAAAGGAGCAGTTCTGCTTCCTGCAGCATTAAATACAGAGAGGGATGATGACAGAGCATCAGACTCCTGGCTGCCGCCTGCTACAGGAGCTTAAGTGGATGAGTCTCCAAAAGCAGAGTAAGATGCTATTGCCTCCTGCAAGATGATGACTGATGCAGCTACCAGGACGCTTCCATCCACAGCAGCTTCCCCCATTACGAGACAAGTCATCTGCAACAGCCCATTAGGAGAGCTGCATCCAGTTGCTGCTCATCAGTCTGTGGTCCCCAGGCACCAGCCTGATGAAGTCTTCAGCTTCCTGCAAGCATCACCAGGTGCCTCCAGCAGCCTGCTTGGAGGTTGCTGGGGTTTTACAAGCCAGCTGCAGGGCCAGCTAAGCAAACTGAGCCCCATGAGGAAGGATTCTGTGGAGCAAAGCCCCTCCAGGTGCTCCTGGTTCACTAAGCCTGGTTTCACTAAGCCCCGCATGAGGCTCCCAAGGTAGCTCCAGGCTGGACCCATCCTTGCAGCAATACCCCACTCTGACACCCTGGTAAAGGTAACAACAGCATCAAGGGTGGCCCCAAATCACCTCTTTTCCTGTTGAAAGGGAATACCAGCACTGCAGCAGCCGCAAAGAGAGGGAAAACTGCTCTCTCGGCTGAATTCAGCCATTTAACTTCATGTTTTGATCTAGGTTGGAAAAAAAAGCAGAGCGCAGTTGAGCAGTCTCATAGCTCTTTAAGCTCAAAAGCCATCATAAGGCTTTTTGAGAGATAAGCGCTTCCTAAATACTTACTGCTGAAAGATTAAGAGAATGAAAGCCTGATCCTGTTTCCCTGCCCAAAGCTCCTGTGCTAACAGGACTACCCCATCCCCACCGCATCCCAGCGGGAGGATCAAGCCACCGCTCCTCTCTCACTGCATAAAGCCGATCACTGGGATGGATTTTCTCCTCCTCCGACTCCGGGTGTGGGTTGGGGATCCCGGCACGGCAGCAGCCCGGGGCGGGGGTTTGGCAGGAGAGGGGTGGCTCTGGCAGCGGCTCTGCTCTGTTGTCCCTATCAGCACTTTCCCAGTTTGGGGGTAACAAAGGTCTGATCCCCGCGCTCCCCACGCTGCGCCTTTTCCTGCTCAGCAGCAACCCAGAGCAAGGGCTGCTGCAGCCGCTGCTGCCCAGGAGCGGTTTGAGCTGCTCAGCTCCCTGCAGCGGGGCACGGCACCAACCTGCGCACACCGGCACCTCCTGCCCAGCGCAGCTCAGAGCAGCGCCAGGGCTGGGAACAACCACGAGCTCCACGCCACACGCGGTGCCTCACCGCGGGAGCTGCACGCCGAGCCGGGGCGGGGGACGGCGGCTGCGTTGTTCTCCAGGGCTCGCTCTGATTCACGCTGCCAAGACAATGACTGATTCCCCAGGTTCTAGTGCAATTAATGTCACTTCCCCAGCACAACCTTTGTGGTAGCTATCTGCTGATGGCTTTAAATGCCACCCTGTACGCAGCCCCCACGAGGGAAGTGCCAGCGACATTCAGAGCCCCTTCAGCAGGCACGGATCACTGACACGTTACCAGCCTGTGGCATCCAAAGTCACAGGTCCCGGTCCCAGCAAAGTGCATGCTCTCATGCCTCAGACAGGGGTAGGGATTTCTGCCTTCAGGGTTCATTGTCCCCTTTTCGAGGTCCTATTCATGCTGCAGTCATTCAGTGGCTTTAACTCCACCAGCAGCAGCCGTGCTTTCAGACAGAGCGGGTTTGCACGTAGGTGCATCTATTATTTAAGGTTCCCACATTCCCGGCGAAGCTCAAACTAAAGGTTGGAGACCTCAGAAGACAAACTCCTGCTGTGAACGCATCAGTAACCTGCGTGCTCCAGTGCCTTGGCACATGCTGCTCATGGCTCTGGCACCAGCCGGGGATGTGCCCTTGGATGCTCTCCATCAATATCCCGACCCCAACTCCATCCCTACAGGAAATCCCAACACCCAACCTCCGAAACGCGCCCACCCTGCAGCACAGCCACCCAGGCACGTGCCATGAGGGATCCCTGTCCCGCGCAGCCACAACCTGATCAGCCACCGGCACGTGGTCGGTGCAGGAGCCCACACCGTGATCACACCGCGGTGATTCACTGCGGCCGCCCCGGCACGCGCTGCCGCCCCGGCACACACTGAAGCAAACACCACCCAGAGGAAGGTGGATCTGGCACAGCAGGAATTAGGGATCTTGTGGGGTTCATTCATTAAAGAGCACCGGGAGCGGTGGATCCAGCAGGTTCATCACCACCGCACAGCCCGGCACAACATCTGCCATCAGCCTCCCCCTGCTCCGTCCTCCCCAAGGGCAGCCACGAGACCAATGTGCTCCATCATGGGCTGCCACCTCCTCCCTATCCACACCTCCCACATCCCACCACGCTCCTAATGCTGCTGCCCCCGCTCCTCTGGAGAGAACAGCGAGCCTGTATCTGAACGCTTGTAAGAACCTGGCCACCTCTAGCGTGTGGTACCCAGCACCCACTGCCCACCTCGAGGATGCTCGTGTTCCTCCCATGTCCCGGGTCCTACCTGCAGCTCCTTGTCAGAGTACTTCTGGGGGTTTTTGCTGCCTTGGCTCTTCTTCCGAAGCTTCTTCAGCTCTGCCTGGCACTTGTCGAGCGAGTCCCCTTTGCTCCTTTGCTCTGTCTGGTATTTTTTCAGCGCAGCCTGGATGGGACAGGAGAAAGCCCTGAGCAGCTGAAGCCAAACCTCAGCCACAGCTCCTGCTGCTAAGGGTTGGCAGAAGTAAGCAGGACCCCCCCCAGCCTTTAGGAGAAGCGGGTTCCCCATGGCCCAGACAGCAAACAGGGACTTGAACAGTCTGACATGGAGGAAAAGGCTGTTCTGTGCATGGTGATGTGTGATGGTCAGAGACCATCAGCAACCAGGGGCATGAGCAATGCCTGGGCACAGCCATCCTTGGGTGGGGAGCTGGGCAGCAGGAAGGGGAGACACGGAGATGCCCAAGCCAATGCCAGGCTACACAAGTCCATGACTCACACTCAGGTACCGGGAGTCCAGCTCCACCTTCTGCTCCAGCTGCGTCAGGAGCTCGTTGTGGAAGGACTTGAGCTGCAGGCAGAAAGAAAAGACACGGTTCCTTGGGGAGGGCTGACAAACCCTGCCCGGGGAGCGCCGGGCAGGCAGGGGAGCGGGTGTCACCCAGGCAAGAAGTGAAACCCATTGTGCCTGGCTGCAGCACCAGCAGAGCCCATGGCCACGAGGAAACCCTGGCCACCCTGACTCACCATCTCCTCCAGCTGGTTCTGGATCTGCCGGTGCACCTCTGCCATCTGGAAGAGCACATCTCCTGCAAAGACAAGACGCAGGGAGGGGGGTTGAGGCACCAAGCTCTAGGGGACACCCCTGGGCTGGGGCAGATGGCACCCTGTTAGCATGGAGGGGATCGCAGATGAAGCTCCTGAAGTACCCCCAGTGCCCGTCTTTGGAGAACTGTAGGTGAGATATTCATCTGAGACACTTGGACACACACATACACCTTGTGTAGCATGAAGGGAAACACGGACAAGCAGCAGTGGGACCCCAGCACCCAGGGGTGCCCATGATCCATTGAGCCATTGGCCACCCCAGCTTTGATCACCTTTACCCAAGCCAGCCCTTAGATGTGACCAAGGAGCCAGAGACAACGATTCCAAGACAGGACCCTCCTCTCGACCTGAGTGTGCGGCTACTGAAAGGATCAACAGGGACAAGAGATGCTGCGCTAACAACAGATGGCAAGTTAACCAGCACCCTTAGAGCCGGGAGCTTTGCCTGCCGCTCCCTGGCTGTGCTCACAGCCCCAAGCCAAGCACGGAGCCCTCCCATCCCTCGCCCTGAGCAGCTGATGGGCAGCCCTGGGACTCGGTCCAGGTCACAAGGCACGGAGCTGCAAACAGAACGCTGTTGATATTTGCTCGACCTCAGGGCGCAGCCGTGCAGCCAGGGCAGAGCCGAGGGCCAGCCCCACAAGCAGCCGAGGGATCCCAGCTCTGCCTCGCCTCTTCCTTCGATTCTCCTCGTCCAGCGCGGCAGCGATGCAGGCACACCCCCAGTGCGCCCTTCCAGGGAGGAAGGGCCGGGTCCTGCCTCAGCAAAAACCCCGTGGCTGGAGCCAGGCACACGCAGGAGCCGCTGGGACTGGAGCCAGCGCTGCTGCACGACCGAAGGCACCATCCCCAGAGCACAGCAAGCTCTTGGAAGAGCCGAGCTCCGTCAGCAATAAGTGCCCTGTTGGGAAGCTCTTGCTTCCAGCATGGCAGCTTGAGGCTTCCAGCCTGCGTGGAGCTGGTTGTGAACTGAAAGCCAGGAGCTGTGTCTGAGCCGCTCCTGTCTCCGCAGCCAGTGCAAAGGAACCACTGGGACCCTCAGTCAACCCAAAACCAGACGGTGGACACTGGGCATGGTCGCTTCATCCCTGGCACACACTGGCCATGCATCATCCGAGTGTCAACACCGCCGGCTGAGCAGGAACAACCTGGCCCAATGTTTCTTTGCTCTTGTGACTGGAGCAGCTCGTACTTTGCACCGTGCATCGTGTGTCAAAACCTTCTGCAAACACTAAAATCTGATCCCTTTTTGTCCTTGGCAGGCACCAGTCCCCTCTGATGCAGTCACAGAACCAGTTGTGGCACTGGTAGGTGCTCAGCCAGCGCTGACTCTCACCATGGCCACCCTGTGCCCAGCAATGCACAAAGACACAAGGCAGAAGCTCTTCCCTGTGAGGGTGCTGAGGCGCTGGCACAGGGTACCCAGAGAAGCTGTGGCTGCCCCATCCCTGGCAGTGCTCAAGGCCAGGTTGGACACAGGGGCTTGGAGCAAGCTGCTCCAGTGGAAGGGGTCCCTGCCCGTGGCAGGGGTTGGAGCTGGAGGAGCTTTAAGCTCCCTTCAACACGAACCATTCCATGGTTCCACAAAGCAAGAGGTGACCAGGCACAGCTGCAGCTCCGCTCCCTCTCCAGGAGCCCACAGCCGCAGCCCTGCTGGGACTCCTGCAGGCGCCTCACAAGGCGCTGATGAAGCGGAGGCTGTGGTGAAGAGCTGCACACACCAAGGGGGGGGCCGGGCCAGGGGTCACCACGGCAGCACCGCCAGGAAGCTGCTCTCCGGCCGGGCTGCGACGGCTCAATGATGGGAAGTGCATGAATTCCCACTGCAAGGAGGCGGTGACGCAACGCCGGCGCTTGGCTGAGATTCCGGTTTCAAGTCTATGAAGGCAAGGGTGGCTGGCTCCTTATTGCCAAGGCTCACACCACCCCCTCTCCCCTTCCCTTCGGGCCAGAGTGGAAAGCCCAGCTGGGAAAGCCGGCGCAGAGCTGGCTGAGGGCTTCCTGAGCTCTCAACCCACCGGGGAGCAGGGACCAGGGTGCTCAGCCGTGATCTACCTATCCCCAAAGGCAGCCTCCCGCACCAGCACAGGGCTCTGCCCCCACCACATTCCTCACCCAGGGAATTGAGCTGCTCCCAGCAGCCAGGGAGGTGCGTGGTGCGTCTCTCAACAGATACTCATCTTTGTTTAGACTTTCTCCTCCATCACCACCCCCGTGGCTCTTATCACGGTGAGCACGGGGCGTTTCAGCCCCACATCAAAGCCAGCAGCGGTGCGGAGCTTTCCCCACCCAGCTCCGTGTCCCAGCCCGGGCGAGGGGATGCTGCCGTGCCCACCGCAGCCGGGGGGCTGTGCCATCACCAGCGGTGCGGTGCGGTGCGGCCCGGCCCAGCCCCGAGAGCAGCTCAAGGGGAGCACGGCGCAGGAAGGCGGCTGGATGGATGCCTGCCTGGGAGCACAGGAGCCTCTCCAGGCTGAGACAGCCCGGCTGCCTCCATAGGGATGGCCCCCGGCTCCCCGTGCTCTGCCATCACCGGGAGCCCATGCGGAGCAGCAGGATGGGAGCCGAGTCCCCCAGATCGTAGCTGCGGCGCTGTGTGAATTCACATTTAGCTCCTCCGACACCCCCATACCCCCCAGCACTGCAGAAAAGCTACAGACGTTGTTAGACATTGAGGTTTCACCCCAAAACCTCTGTGACTAACCCAGCGTGCAGCAGGGCACAAGTTAAACTGTGACTAACAGATACCACAGGAGCTGGAAGCTTAAAGCCAGCCCCAGCTCAGAGGAGGTTCTGTGGCATCACGGTGACAACAGGTGCCGTGTGGTGCTGGCAGAGCTTGATGGCAGGACCAGGACCACGGCACACACCCCAGCAGCAGCACAGTCACCCACACCATGGGCACTCTGCATCACCCACCAGTGGTATTTGTAAGTTAAACACAGTGATTACACACTGCAGCAGGGCAGAGAACAGAGCAAGGGCCTGGGTCACAGCGCACGCTGTACAGGGGGTGGGAGCCCCATACCAGCCTCACAGCCAAAATGCGCATCCTATAGGTCAAGAAACCCAAGGTTAACGTCTCACCTAAGCCCAGAGGCAAAAGCAAGGATGAGGAAGGGTGGCCACCAGAGCCAAGGTTTCACCTGCCCTTACCCAGCTCACACAGCTTCCCGCAGGCTGCCAAGCACACACAGGGAAGGAGGAGCTGCTATTTACGTCTGACTCACAGTATCGCCCTGGGAGAACTGTAGGGGCTATTGTGGGCCCTTCCCTACCACACCCAGGCACGGGCAAACAGGTTGTTCCACATCCCTCCCATCCCTATTGGCACCACGCAGGAGCCAGCTGCCCCTCCAGAAGGCAGAGCAGCAGGAACCCCTCTCACGGGGTTTTGCTTTGACTTCTCAGAGCCTCAAGATTTCCCCCCCCCCTCGATCTAGATAGCAGCTATTTTGAATAGAAACACCAAACAGTGCATCAGCAGAGGAGCCAAACTGCTCTGAGCCGGAGCATGCTGATGCTTGCACAGGGCTAAAGCAGCCCAGCCTGTCCTGCAAGGGCAGTGGAACCGGTGGCCAGGGGACCAACTCCCTGGCAAAGCCACCAGCTCCTGCTGCCACCGGCACCGGTGATGCTTACACAAGCAAAACAGCACCACAGCCTCCACGGCACTGCTCCTTGCTCCTGCGAGGTGAGGGATGCAGCACCACCAGCATCGCTCACCATCAGATCGCTTGCTTTGGACATTCAGATCCCAAGCACAGAGCATGAAACAAGGAGCCCAGGGGGGCTCAGCTCCTCCACTCTTTCACACTGTGCTGGGCTTTATTTTTAAGGGAGGCCAGGAAAGGCGATGGTGCTGTCAAGGAAGTAACCAAGCTCCAGAAAAGGAGTATTAGCTCCTTAATGAGAAAAACCAACAGACGGTAACAGGGCAAATTGTTTGAGCTCCTGCAGCTCAAGAGAGAAAAAAATTAATCTGCTTTTCAATGGCTGGTTAAATGCTGTTAGCTGAATCCTTTGATGCCGAGCAACCACTTGAACCCGGGGAGGGATGTGCCAGCACATTCCCAGGGCAGGCAGAGAAGTGAGAGCACTGGGTGCTTGGAGAAGGGCACAGGAAGACCCTGCTCCAGTCACCACTCTGACACAGGCACCCAGTGCCCTCCTCCCAGACTTTGCTGGACAGGAGAGCTCCATTGCTTTGGGTTTTTTATGGGGGGAGCAGGGGGAAGAGCACCAACCTTGTACATGTTTTAGTAAATAAAGCACTGCTTCAGGGTGAAACCTGCCCCCCCTGAGCACAGCAGAGCTCTGCTCTCAGCCCGGCAGTTACCAGTTCCCCTTTCAGCACCCAGTTTCACACCTCCCATTTTCCACCAGCAGCAAGTGGAGCCATTCACCCTGGTCACGGCTCGGGCACATCCCCACCGCTGCCTCCCCATCCTGCACAGAGCCAGGCAGCAGCTGCTCACACGTCACATCACGCGCTGCAGACCTGATCAAGCCAGATTCAAGGCAGAAGCACGCTCCTGAACGCTTCTGCAATCTCTCTTCTTCCCACCCATTAAAGCACCTCAGCCCCAGCTCACAGACACAGCACGTGCCATGGCCAAGCCCTCCGGCCATGGGGAGCAGCACTCCCATCCCAGCACCTCATCCCAAGGCGGCTCTGCCTGCACCAGCGCTGGCACTGGGGGATGATCCCCGCGTGTGCAGTGGGAAGGAGCCCAGTGTGGGGAAACAATCAGCTTCTCACGGCTGATTCGCTCCCTTCCTCTTCAGAAGGGTTTCACTCAGCACAGCCCCAGAGGATGGTGCCGATCTGCTGATACTCAGCGACTCATCAGCACTACCGTGGTGTGCTCTGCTCCCAGCCTCTGCTCCAGCCCAGCAAAGCCCGAGACATTCCTGATGTCCTTATTGAGAGACAAGGTAAAGGAAGAAGCAGGCGGCTTCCCGAGGCACCCTGACCGGGGCAGGTTCAGAGACACATCCCCAGTAATTGGCTCCCTCGGGCTGAGCAGTTGCCACTGACACCTTTAGCAGGGAGAGATGAGAGAGCTGGGCGACCTGTGGCTCCCGACAGCCACCCCTGGATGTGAACACCCCCTGTACCCGGATCGGGATGTGCGGACCAGAGAGTCCCTGATGCTATATTGGTGGCACAGGAGGACACAGAGCTCACCTTCACCAGCCTGGAGCCACCGGGCTCAGACCCATGGGAACCAATCCACCTGCACGCCAGCAGTCCCAGGAGGGGAAGCAAACACCTCCAGGGCCCAGGGCTGGCCACACAACAAGCTCTGCCCCTTCCTAAACCCTGCCAAGCTCACAGCATTGCCAATGGATGGCAGAAACCAGCCCTGGGACACACACGTGGCCCCTCCTCCCTCCCAAGAGGATGGAGCATCCTGCAGGAGCTTGTCCCGGGCACGCAGCAGGTAGGCATCCCTGGAAGATGCCACCACTGGAGCTGAAACCCAAATGTTACCCACAGCTGCTACCCGTCAGAACTCCAGCCAGGCAACATGCTCCTCACAGATGCTCCTTTCACCACCCTCCACCGTTGCTTTCCCAAGCACAGGTTGGTGAGAACAAGCCCACTGCTATGGCAGTCTGCTTGTAATCAGATATGGAGGCAGTGAGAAGGCAGCACAGGCAGCAGCACAGCAAGTCCCTTCCTGAGACAGGCAGCAGCTTTTAAGAGGCTTTTCCCTTGTGTTTGTGCACCCTCAGCAAGCCCATTCTATGCTCTACAGCAGCATCATGGACAGGACCAGGCTCTGTGCCCAGCTCCAGCCACAGACCCCCTTTCTGTGCCCTGTATGACCAGTGGTGACAGCTCTATCCTGCATCCCTCTGTGATGCTCATCAGTGGTTCCAAAGCTGCATGGAGATGGTTTAAAACCCCTTGAAGCCCAGCATCCTTCACTGACAAACAGCTCCAGGACCACAAAGGTTCCACTGGCCCCAGTTTTATTGTGCAAATCATGTGTGAGAGGAAAGCCAGGATCTACCAGAGCCTCATTACAGTCCAACAATGGTTGACTAATTACGGCACGTCCTGCCCTTTCACAGCACTGAGCTTTAGTCAGAGCAGCCTTCACTGACCCAGGGACCTCGGAGAAAACCAGCGGCTGAGCAAAACCCACCTCCAGCCCTGAAGGAGCTCCCTGCAGGTGCTGCTCAGCCCCAGCACCCCGGTGCCTCTGGCTCCGCTCACAGGCACGTGCTTCCCTGGAGGAGAAACCCCCTTCCCGTGACTTTGCCATGGCCCAGTTTGCAAGTGGGACAAAAGGAACAACGTTTGTGGGTAGCAGCCAAGGGACCCGAGCAGGAGCCAGACACCGGCCAAAGTCACCCGAGCAGTTGCACCCAGGAGGCCGGAGCTCCTTGGAAGCATCTACAAACCATCATTCCCAGATCACTGGAGCAAACCCTCACTGATCCGACACCGCGGTCATGCTCCTCACGTCAGCCTCCCCAAAGCCACTGCAGCAGCTACCCAAGAACAGCACAAGGAGCCTCCCTCAAAGAGGAACTGTGAGCACGGGGCTGTCCTCCATGTGCCAGAAACTGGCCAGCAGCCTCAGAGCAGAACAGGAATTACACAGAGAAACTGTCTCAGGGCAAGCTTCTGTGTGTGGACAAGGGGCAGCTACACCCAGCAGAGCATCCCTTTAGTTAGAAACCAAGAGCTTGAGCATCCCAAACCTCGGCAGTGGGGTTCAGACAGAGGCACGACCCCACCAGACGCCTGCACCCAAAACTCAAGCCGCAGAGCCGATTACAGCTCAGGAGCTTTATTATGGCTGGGCTTTCCATGCCCACCCGGGATTATCCCGTCTACACACGGAAAATCTGATGGAGAATTCACAAAATGTGAAGCTCTGAGCAGGGAGCGGAGCCTGGAGCCAGGGTCAGCGCTTTCAGCACGACAAACGTGCAGCACACGCACCAGAGCAGTATGGTTTTAAAGAGGCCAGCACGAAGCAGAACAAGCCACCCTGGGTCGCCGTGCTGGAGAGCTGGCACGGCAGCACCCAGCCCGGGATGGGCAGCTCTCCAGCACCCAGCCCAAGAGCAATCCTTTGCAGTCACAAGTGCTATTGGAGAGATGATGGCAGGAAAGCACGGCTGGGCTGGAGCACCCGGAGAGCCACAGCAGCTCTTGGGAAGCCTCAAACCCCCCTGGAGCTCCTGGTCCTTGGCTGTCCTGGGTCACCCAGGGCGTGCAGAGCCCCCATGGCCACCCCAGCACAGGCAGCATCACTGCAGCACAGCGAGGGAAAAGATGTGGCTGCTTAACCCCATTTCTGACGTGCGATCTGCAGCGTTTTTAATGCTCTTTTGACACCTCCTGCCCCAGAAATGACATCAGAAAAGCACCCCCATTCACAAAAGAAAGGGTTATGGAGGGAAACTTAACATCTCAGATTCTTTTCCATGGAGGCTGGAAACAGACCTTATCTGTGGTCCCAACCAGAGCATCCCAGAGCCCTGCCTGCAGCCTTGGAGCAGCTTTCCCTGTCACAGAGGAAACCACCATCACAGGGAGAGAAGAGCGAGGGCACAGCATTAATGCAAATGGCAACCAAGAGCATCCCTGTTTGCTGCTGCCTCTCGCGGGGGATGAAATAACCCAGACCTCAGCGCTCCTTTCCGGCGCTATCAGCAACCCCAGCGCAGGCACCGATAAGGTAAAGGTGTTCCCAGGAAGAGCCGTACCTTTGGGAGCAAAGCTCTGACCTCAGCCGTTTCTCAGCCCCTGTTTACCCAGCACGGGAGGGGGCTGGTCCCTGGTTATCAGCTCCATGAAACCACAGCCAGGAATTTTATCTCCACTTTCTTCTGCACGGAGCAGCTGCCACAGTAAATACCAGCAGGGTCAACAAAGCGGGGAGCAGCGCTCAGCACGGCTCTGAGCTGAGCCAGAGCTGCCAGGATCCCCCTTTGGATGTGCTCACACAGGGGTGGAAACACTGAAAGCAACCCCAGAATACCCAAGCCACACAACAAATGCATCTCCGGAGACTGAGGGGGGACACTAAGGATGGCTGCTGCCAAACCACCATCCTCAGGTGAAGAACCAGCACCACCAGAACGCACCAAAGCCAGGTTTGAAGTGAGAGCAAAGCTCTGCAGGGGAGGCAGGTTTGGGGTCTCCATGCTCCTCCCTGGCTGAGCCACCTCTGACAAGGTTTTCCAAGGTTTCACTTCCAGAAGGACAGAGCTGCTGCCCCTTTCCACCCCAAAGAGGTGGATGAGAAGCCCATAGTAAGGTCTGCACAGCCCTTACAATCTCGGTCTCTGCCTGCATTGCACACAAGGCTCTTGTTTTATTTATTAAACAGAAGCAGATTGCCATAGGCAGCTCTAATCCAAGCGCTAGAATCGGTTTCCATAGACACTTACTGCTTCCCTATCACAACCCAGGCGCAGGCAGCGAGCTGTGGCTGGGGTAAGCAGTGCCTGACACTGAGCACAGCACAGGGGAACCGAACCCTGGCTCCTGCAAGGGGCTGCTCACGGACTGCTCCATCAGAGTCATTTCGGTTCCACCTCTGCTGTTGACTGCCTCAGAGAGCTCACCACGAGCAGTTTGCCACCTCCTAGGACAGCAACCAAGGGAGCCAGACCTGCAGGAGGGACTGGGAGGAGGAGCTGACCTGGGACTGCAAAGGCAACGAGACCAAAACCCATCTCAGCCCCACAGAGCCTTAGAAAACATTGCAGCATCCCTGGGAGGAGCTGGGAGAGGAGCCACCTCGATCCATGTCTACACAGCAGAACAGCAGCGAGGGGGAGAACACAGGAGACATGTCTGAGCAACGGGAAGACTGGAAAAGCATCCCCCAAAGGACTTCCCAGAGGAGGAAAGGGAAAGGAGGCACCGAGCATCGCAGCTCGTGATGCCTGTCGCAACTGGGATCGACTGGGCAAAGACCAGGAGGAACACTGACCAGGACACCGACCTGCCCCGTGTCCCCTCTGTCACCCCCAGGGGGAAATGGGCTGCCTCAGCCCCACAGCAGGAGCTGGCGCTTTCCTCCCCCTTGCAAAGCAAGACAAACGCCAGCAAAGCCGCTCTCTGCAAACGCTTCCTCTTTGCAAACACCACAAGCTGACAGTGCCCCAAAATCCTGCACTAAGAATAGCAGGCTTTTTTTGTTTTAAGCTACATTAAATAGAGACGCTTTTACCATTCACATGAGGCACGATCAGCTCCGCACTGAGCTCGCTATCCCCTTCAACAGCAAAAAATCTGGTTCCATCCCTGTGCTCGGAGCCTGCTCCGGGTTGTGGCTCCGTTTAGCAGCAAATTGGTGACTTACCCAGCTCTTTAGATCCTTGGCTTTCACTGGCCAACTCTCCCATCTTAACCAGAGCATCAAAGTATCCTTTCGCTGCATATGTCATACCTAAAAGCACCAAAAAAATGCAGGTTATATTCTCCTTAATGGCTATTACAGCTTCTGTGACACCAACTAGATGCTAGACACTAAACCAGACATTACTTCAAAGGGCTTAACCCCACAGGGAGGGACTACATCACAAGAGAAATGAGGGGAGAAAGAAGAAAGCTGGAGCAGCAAGTTTACAGGGCTCTTTTGGGGGGGGAAGGTAGGTGCAGGCTCTAGGTGGTTTTCATTCCAGTGTAACCATCAGCCTGCTGAATGCTGCTCAGAAAAAAATCACTGTGGAATAATTGAATATCACAGACTTTTCATTATAGTTCAGGCTTGTTTGTTGACATTCCAGCTCCACTCTCCACTTTAATCAGATAAGCAGGGGGTTTCCTGTAATCACCAGAACATGCTGTACAGCTTGAGCTCAATGCCGTCAAATGAGGTGCTGAAGCCTCTTCCAGTGTGATTTACCCATTAAGATGCTTCCTTCAGATGCCCCCACAAGCTCGGAGATCCAAAGTAATGGATGACCAAAGACATCTTCAGAAATTACAGGAAGATCTTGAGCTTCAAAGCGCACTCCCAGCGAGGATGTGAGGGGAACAGCAAACAAGGGATGGCTCTGGTTACCCACAACGTGCTGCAGCTACAGCCTGCCCGAGCTCGGCTGGGATAACGCAGCTCTCTGTAGATGGACCCCACCACCCGGCTCATTAAAAGCTGCATTATCAGTGCAGCATTTCAGAAGGACACACAGAAACCATGGTCCCGAGTGCAACTTCCCCCTCTTCAGCCCCTGGCTGCAGACCCAGCAGGCAGGAGCACACCCAAACCAGACCTGCTTCGTCAGCATCACTAACAGAGCTGGGCAATGCTGCTGCTGCTGCTGCTGCAAGGGTGCATGAAGTGCCCCATCCCTGGGGATCAGAGTCCACAGCCCCTGAGCACTGGACCGGGGTGGACGGGCACTTCCCACGTTACGGCCAGTTGATCCATTAAAACCTAATTAAAACCAATGCTGGGAACTGGCAAGAAAGCAGCGTGCAGGGGAGTGCCTGGAACCTGGGACCAGCAGGAGGGCTGCTTCTGAAGAGGATTCTGACCGTAACATCCAGGAACCTCATTTGACTTGTGGGAATCAAAACCTGCTCCAGGCGCAGGGCAGGAAGGCACCGATCCTTCCCAAAGCTCATATTGCAAACATGAGACATCAAAATATTTCTTTCCACTGGCTCCAGATGATGACAGCCTCTTCCCTAAGGGGCGTTTGCACTGAGCCAATTAAAACTAAAATCCAGGATACAAGAGCAGTGCAGCTCCGGGATGAGCAGAGCATCCCCAAAAGCAAACAGCTGCCCCTGCGTCAAACAAAACCTGCTTTAAACCTCCCTAAAACCAAGCTGAGGAGGGCCCAGGCACTATACCAAGTCATTTTAAGGCAAATGAGTCCAATTTTGGTTTTCTTCAATTTGTATTTTACTCCTGAGCATTTCAATCTACACCTCCGCAGTGACTCCCAATAGGACCCTGTATTCCTAATCAAGAGATGCCACCAATACTCTTAGGCTTTTCTCCCTTCTTTTCCAATGCATTTGCCTGGGCAATTTGAACATTCCAATAACACATCTTTAAACAGAACTTAAAATCTTAATTCCAAGTATTTAAAGTAACATTTAAAGATAATCTGGTTGGAGATGTATTTGTTACCCAGTCATCACTCAACATTTTATCACTTGAATCCCTTCCACATCCGTGGCACCACAGCACATTCATGTCCTGCACATCCTAACAATGTGAGCTTTGTATTGAGGACCAAGAACCATCTCCCCAGCTTCCTCCTCTCCCTCCTGCTGAGAACAAAGAACATCCCAAGGGAGTTTTGCAGCTTTCCTCCCTTCCAGCCTCGCAGCCCCCAGCATTCCAGCAATAAACACAGCAGCAGCACAGTTTCACTTACTTGCTAAGGCTTTTTCATAGGTCTTCCCCATAGAAATGAAATTCCTGAGGCTGGGATTGAACTGCTCCATAATCGTCTAAAGGAAAAAGAAGAACACTGTGAGGGGTTACGGAGACGACCAGGAGGCAGTCAGAGCAGCTGCCCTGGGGCTGCCACACCGACCTCCATGCTCAGAAATGCAAACCCAGCAGGAAACCCTCCCAGAGCCCTTGCAGCAACTCAACTCAACCCAAGGTTATTGATGTCGGCAAGAGGATGCTGGTTCACACCAAGAAGCCTTCATACACCCATGTCCTGCAAATAATCCCAGACTGGTTTGGGTTGGAAGGGACCTTCAAGCTCATCCCGTTCCAACCCCTGCTATGGGCAGGGACAGCTTGCACTAGAGCAGCTTGCTCAGAGCCTCATCCAACCTGATGTTGTACAAAATAATGCACAAAAGCAAGGGACCTAGAGGCTGGAAGGGCAAATTTTCTTCTCATTCAGGGTAAATCAGAAGCATGGGCTCAGGGCAGGGCAGAAGTGGCCTGAAGCTAAAGCAAACACGATGGTAAGAGCTGCTGAGCACAGCCAGGACATCAGCTGAACACAATGACCCGTGCTGCTGCTTCGAGCCATGCCCTTTGCGAGGGTGACTGGAGGCATCTTCACCTCTCACCAAGGGCAAACACTCCACAATGCTCTTCCCCCCACCGCAGCTCCAGAAGGTGCCATTGGCACTGTCAGGATGCAGCAGTCAGGGAAGATGCCCCAAGTATCCTCCCTTCATCCCACAGCTCGATGGAGGAAGGCCAAGGCTGTGTTTTGAAGGGTGGTGGCTCTGCAGTGCCTCAGCACAAGATGCCTTTTGCAGGTGCTTCACTGTAAGAGACAAATGAGTGCCCCAAACCAGCAAAGTATGGTTATTGTTATATTTGCCACATCTGGTCAGTGGCTGGTTGAGGCAGCAGGCACCAGCACTCAGACCAACCATGCCATCGACCCGAGTTCTGCAGATGATGAATGGTGATGTCCTGCTCCTGGAATGGCCTTGGGGAGCAGCAGCAGCTTGGTGTATTGTGGACAAGCAGAAGGGGCTGAAATAACCACCAAGGAGCTGAACCGGGAACAAAGCCACCACCATCCCCACCGAGCTGGTGCCAGCCACGGCTGAAGCCACATGCAAGGAATTACACCTCGGTCTCAAAGCCCTTGGTGTCACTTTCCACCTGCAGATAAAGGCATAAAGGAGGGTGTTGGTGCACACCAGCAGCAGTCTGACAGCTTCTCCTCCCTCGCTTTAAGGTCCTTATGGAAACACGAGGGGGAAGGAATAATCGGCTCACGAAGAAGAACGGCTCTTTGTGCGCTTGGCAGGGCAGCTCCGGACCCTCCCCGGCCAGAGCCATTCAATCCCCGGCACCGATAGCATCTCTCAAAGCAGACACCGGTTCCCAGGCGAGCTCTGGGACAGACAACAAAAATCTCCATTCTATTGCTGAGAACCCAACCTCCGGACCAAGCCTGGCTGCAGCAGAGCAGCCCCGCTCCCTGCCCCACCACGGGGACAGCCCCTTGCCCAGGGTACCACCAGGCAACAAAGTTTGATGCCTAAATCTCCCCACACACCCAAGCAGGGATGCACCAGCACTCCCCTTGGGAAGCAAGGCCTTGGCACCCCCCCACGCCACGCTGCTGGCAGCATCCCATCTCGGGAAGGGGAGGGAAGACGAGAGACAGACACTTACAGCAAATAAGCTGATTAAGCATCTGTCACTTCTTCTGAAGCCGGCCAAACACTATAAAGCTCATTTTCTGCCTGAGGCATTTTTATCCCGAGTTCCTGCTGCCTGGCCTTTGCAGGCTGTGACAGTTTAATTTTCCTGCCGTGGGTGCATGTGTGCAAGGCTCAGGCAGCGCCTTCCCCGCCTCAAACCAGCCATTTTCTCGTTTCTACGAGCAGGAACGTGTGTAGAGCACAGCTCAGGGACCAGCGCCGAGCTGGGGAGCATCACCAGGGTTTGTTAGCAGGAGAAATGCTTTCAATCCTCTGGGCTGCAAGCCACCATCCCGCAGCCCTTGGGGCTTTCAGGTCCATCCCACAGCACCATACGCAGCCCTGCACAGGGCCAAAGATGGTTGCAGGGATGTGACAGGAAAGCATGAGGCTAATGAGAAGCTTCGCTGCTAATTGGGACTGCAGGTCAAGCAACACGGCGCATGTGGAAGCTGCTTTGGGGCAGCACAGAGCCGCTCAGTGAACACGCTCAGCTCAGGAGGAGAAAATGAACCTGTAGCAAGAAGCCACGTAGCGAGCTGCCTGCCCTCACTGTAGAAGCCAATTGCACAGGAGTTAATTAACACTGATGAGGATTGCTCCATCCTTCCCAGGTCAGCTTTAACCCCGGTCAAAAGTCTGCCCATGTTATTCCGCAGAGCGGCGGGAGGGATGGGATCGCTGCCCGTGGTGGGGACATGGACACATCCCCAGTGCCCATGGTGGGGATGGGGACGGGGACGTGGACGTGGACATGTCCGTGGTACCCACGGCAGGGACAGGACACGGACGCATCCCCTCCACCAGCAGAGCCATGGCTCCAGCCTGCACCACGCTCGAGCTGAGCCTCAGCACTGGGAGGCTGGGTAACGTTTATGCGGAAGGAATATTGGCAGGATTTCTGTGGGGAAGTGATTCTTAAGCAGTTTGCTGGGTTAAGTGCAGTAAGTGTTTATGTATCTGTATGTACACATGTAGATATCAAGTCATTTCTGCAGCAGTGCTGATATAAACACATCTCCCCGAAGCATGAAGCTTAGTGAATAAATGATGGGGTAGGAGCTGCAGCCGAAGCTTCGTCCGCAGAGCAGGAACCCCGAGGAGCATCACTGGAATGGAGTCAGGGAAAAACCCTTCCAAACTCAGAGCATCCTCCTCAAACTGGAGGCAACCAAAGCACCACTTGGCTGCAGCAGCTGCCAGCACCGCTCAGGGCAGGACCCTGCTCCCCCCCAACCAACAACAGCCCTTTTAATCACAGAATGGGAACGGTGTGGGCAGGGACATGTTCCACTAGAGCAGGCTGCTCCAAGCGCCATCCAACCTGCCTTAAAGCAACAAATAAAGAGAAAAAGGCCCCAGAAGGGGTCCTGCAGCTGGGCTGAGGCAGGGGGAGGTGACTCACTGCTGCCCAAACACCACGGACTAAACCTGAAGAGGAAGTTTGCTGAAAGCGAACGTTTTGAAGACATTGTCTGGGGCCTCCAACGCAGCCAGCGCTGCAGGACGAGGGCACTGCAAAGGGCTCTTCACTGCAGAGACAAAAATAGAGCTTTTCAAGCCTTCTTCTCACTCCCAGGGTGGGAAGGGAAGGTGACTCCAGACCTGACGCACCTCCACATCCCCTCCAGGGGGGAGGCTGAAAAGCCACCAGCTGCTAAGGAGAACTAGTGAAAACCAACCATCCTCATGTCCGGAACACGCTTCACAAGCATCGCTTCACCCACAGCAAAGCGCCATGGCTGCTCCTGCCATGCTGCCGTCGCACGGCCACGCATGCCCCATGGGCAGGGCAGTGCAGCACAGCTCCCCATAAGCCAGGGAGGTGAGGCCAGGTTTGCAGGACACCGCAGCAAAGCTGATGTGCAGCAGAACGCGGGTACCGGCAGCAAACCTCGTCCCCACTCCGATCCCGCTCCACCGGCACCACCCACAAGTTGTTTGCCTTCCACACGCTGCCCGGGCAGAGTTTAGAAAAACAGAGGCAAAAAAAAACCCCAACCCTGGCAGCTAAAGGTTGAAAGAGCTTTTCCTTTGTTCCAGTGCACTCAGCTCCCCGGGTAACGGCACTCAGCTCCCCGGGCCTGGCACGGCTTTAGGCAGCTGCCAAAAATGAAACTAATGCAAAGCACAAGGTCCTGTTGAATTAGGGGGGAGAAGGAACAGAAAACAAGGTCCCCACCTCTCCCCTCTGAGCACACTCCAGGCTACAGCAAGGATCTAGCGGCCGCTCTGAGGCTGCAATGGGCAGCCCATGGGTAAAGTTTAAGCCACCCCGAGAACAAGCTGGGACCGGAGCTGGTTCAGGTTGTGTCAGGTTTCTGCTGCGTAGGAAAGACCCAAAGGAAGGACAGACACCTCCTTAAGGGCTTTCAGAAGTATTTAAGGGCAAGCTCTCCCCAGGTGCATCCCTGCAGCCTCCCAGGGAGCTCATAAAACCCAATACAGAGCAAACCCAACACCAGGCTCCCCTCTGCTCTGCTGGGGCAGAGGCTGTGGTCTGCTGGGTGCTGGGGCTCTGCACCATGGCTGCCAGCAATGTGCACGCTGCCCTGATTACAGCCAGGCCTCATGTCCAGCCTCTGCTCCACACGGGAACACGGCAAAGGGAGGGACAAGCAGGGACTGAGCTGAGGAGGCTCCTGGATTTGCCCAAGGGATGAACATCCCCACTTAACACCACAGCGTGGGCCGTGCCCTGGGCTCCTTTTCCAGCCATCCCAGTCCCACTGGGGATGTCCCAGACACTCAGTGAACACAAGTGATGGACTCTCAGCTAAAACCCAGCTTCAGTGTTCTCCCAATGCCAGTTTTGATGCCCCTGTGCAGCAGCAAGGTTCGGTGGCTCCTTGCAGGACTGATGCTGCACAGTGGCAGGGGTGGCCTGGGCTCAGCCTGGCACCCATGGGTGACAGCAGGATGTTATGTGACCACAAGTGCCATCAGAAGGGCAGCACTGTGGGACTCCGCACTACCCCACAGCCACGCCGCCACAGCAGCTCAGCCCTGAGGAAGGTTGGTTTCTAAACGGGCCAGCCCTGCTCTGGGAACACCTTCATTATTTCTGTATTAATATTTAATGGGCAAACGCAGCCCAGCGCTGCCTCCATCCGCTCCTCCTGCCCTCTGCTCTTAGAACGCAGCTTTAAGAGGGAGGGAGAGGAGCCGCACTGGGTGCTGGTCTCAATTGCTCACAGCACACACACGCCCCAGCTCTGCCGCCGGGAACATCCCCATCCAGCCGACATTCCCGGGTACCATAACACATAACAGCAGCGTTCCATAACCCCACCGAGCTGCTGACGGCTGCCCTGCCGCATCCCTCCCGCACCGAGCACTCCCAAAGCTCAACCCAAGCCAACAGGAATGGCTGAGCCACGTCCCCCAGCAAGGGCTCTCCCAAGGTCCTGCCCCAAAGCCAGGCAGCACAACCGGGGTCCAGCACAATCCTTACTGCAAGGGAGCTCAGGAGCAAGGGGGCTGGGGAAAACCCCCCAGGTCCCCATCGAAATGCATTCAGTTTCTATGAGCTGTTGTGCCTGAGGGTGCAGGGCTGGCCTACACCGTGCAACATGAGCAGCACAGGAGTGAAACCTTAGCCACGAGCAGGCTCAACAGAGCACCAAAGGTGAAGCACCACGAGCAGCATCGCTCATCGGCAGGAGCCAGGAGCACGGGAAGTGATCCGGGTACCTTCAGCTTTAAACCACTCCTCAACCCCCAGGTTTCAACAACCTGTAGATGCAGCACCTCCGCAGAGGTCAGAAACCACTCTCCCAAACTGAAACACCCAGAGGGATGGAGCAGCCCCTCGTCACCCCCAAAGTGCACTGAATCCAGGGCTGGCTCCAGGGGCCAGCTCCTTCCTCCTCTCACAGCAGGTCCCTCCGCTGCCAACGCACCAAACCCCACAATTTTCCTTCTGATTCACTTAAGAATCTCTCCCCTTTCCCTCTGGACTGGAGATAACAAAGCAAGAGGCTGTTATGTGGGCAATAACATTTATTACAGCTGATGTGCAGCAAATGACCGTATCAGGAATGCTGCCTGCATTTGTGCAAGACAATTAGGCCTCGAGTTTGGGGTGGTTTTAAGCAAACACCTCTTCAAAGGCAGAGCTATTCACACACCATTGCAAAACCATCTTCCACAGGAAGGAACGGCTTCAGAATGAAACAGAGGTGAGCATGGAAACGGCAATAATCTAATCTGTCGTGAGTGAGATGGATTTGTCTTCAGGGGAAGGAAGACTTGCCAGCACACACAGCATCCTGTGCAAGGGATGAGCAGAGATGGGAGCAGCCCGGCTTGGCCGCATTGCTGCCCGTCCGCCCAGCGCCCACAGCAGAACCACTACAACCGGGTCCCCGGGAGTGAATCAGCGGCAGGGAGGGTGGGATTACGTTGGCAGAAGGTGCCAGCAGCCTCCGTCTCCCTCTGCAATCACTACACATGTGTGGGCAGCTGCGTGTAGTGGCAGCATCGGCGAGGGGGAGGCTGACAGCTCCTCCACCAGCTCATTAGCACCGTCACTCCGAGGGCGAGCGCTGGTGCTGGAAAGCCATTACAATGGGCTTCCTGAGCAGAACGCCCTGGGCAAGCCTGTGCAGGAACGGGTGCCTGGCATGGGGCTGCCTCCTCCTGCTCCAGACCTCGCACGGAGGGGCTCAGCCCCCTGGAGCCCTGGCAGGACCACAGCGGTGGTGGGAAGCAAAGCGTGGGGCAGCCGCTCACCCTGTGGCTTGGGGCTGGTGGCTGTGAGGAGGCAATGGCCAAACCACCCCTTCCTCGGGGCTGTTGCCTCCTGACCACAGCGGTGGTCAGGCCAGAAAAACATGGGACAAACCCAAAAGTCCTTGGGCAATGGGGATGTAAAGCACTGAGGGTGGTTTTGGAGACCTCAAAGCTTAATGGAGCTCCAGAGAGTCACTGAGCCTCCAGCCCTCACACCCGGCTCTGGGAGGTTGTAGAAGTGCTCAAAGAACCAGGCAAACACTGGGCTTCTGCACGCACCCCCTGCCACACATCTCCAGAGGCCAAGAAAAGCATTGTTACTTGGAGACAAGGAGAAAAGGCTCCTCGTCCCCTGCAGGAAACAGTCAGGACCTCCAGCTCCCAGAGCAGATGTTGGGTTAAACCACATGGGCCTCCAGCACATCCTCACTCCCTGCACCCTGACTGCTCCCATTAAAATACTGAGAAATTAAAGTGTTCAGAGGCTGACAGGGACCTTTGGACTCCTCTGTGTCCATCTTTGACTCCTGGAGCCATGAGGCCCCGTGCACCCTCTGCTCTGCGGTCAGACCAGCCAGCACTGCCGCTTGCTCCGGCCATGGGTGCTCTGCCCCATCCCTTGGCCTGCTGCTCACACGGTGAAGGAATCTGATGGTCAGAGGCAAGAGCAAAGCCTGGCCACCATTCACCCTTCAGCCTCAGCTCCTGTGGGAAATGAGCTTCATTTAAACACTGTCCTTGTGATGGCACAAACCGCCCCGCACGCTGCTCACAGGGCTGCACCCAGGGAAATTGTGACCTGCTCCACAAACCTGTTATTAGCACAGTTCTTCGAGGACAACACACCTCAAACACTGAGTCACCAGCTGAAACCGTTCCCAGCAACTGTCCCCACACCGACCATCGCTCAGGCAGGGATGAGCTCCAGCAGCTCTCGCCCTGTGTCCTCGCAGCCACAAGGCTCCATTCAGACCCGCTCTACAGCCAGAGCACCCAAGATTTTGGGTGCCATTAGCTCTGCCTGTGGCTGCTCTGCCACACGATCCCCAAACCAAGACTTCAGAACTTTACTACCTTGGTATTGCTTGTACTAAATTCCTCCATATGATGCTTTTTTCCTGCTTAATGCTCCCAGGTAACTCCATCCCAGCACTTAAAACGCAGGAAATCATGCAAGCTTTCCAGTTTAACAAATGACATCCTGCATTACACGTTAGGCTAGAAAGGTTTTATTAGCCCCGGTCACAAGAGCCAGCGGAGCAGAAACCACTTCCCTCACAGGGAAAATTAAAGCACATATTTTGTGTTTTAATGACACTGGGGGCAAAGCAGGAAGAGAAAAGCCGAGATTTCCCAAACTCCAGCTACGGCCGGGACACGGGAAAGGCTCCGACCGCTCTGGGCTGCGCCCGGCTCCCCTGGTCAGGGGGGTTTGGGGTGCCGGTGGGATGAATTAACCGGGATAACGCCGGTCCCCCCCCCGCGGGGTCCCCTCGTCCCGGGGCCTCCCCCGCAGCCGCTCCCACCCCGACGGCGGCTGCTCCCGGCGGGGGGACGGGAAGGATGCGAGGGGAACAAGCGCGACCCCCGAGGGCGGCACGGCGGGGCCGGGCTCACCTTGTAGACATTCTCGGTGAGGCGGTGAACCTCCTCGGAGCGGGACATGCCGGGCGGGCCGGGCAGCACCATGGGCGGCGGCGGCGGCGGCGGAGCGCAGCGAGCGGCGGAGCGGGAGCGGCACCGAGCGCCGGCAGCGACGCCTTTTATCAGCTCCCGGCGGCCGCCACCGCCCCGCCCCGCCGGGAGGAGCCACCCCGAGCCGGGCCGGGCTCCGCGGTGAGGGGCGGGAGGGGGGGCACCGGGGTAGGGGAGCTCCTCTGGCCCTCCTGATGCGCCCCATCCCGCACCCCACTCCCCGTCCCGTTTGCTCTCTCTGTCCCATTCCCCATCTCCCTTTTCCTATCACTCTCTACACTGTAGTCCCCATCCCATTCCCCATCCCATGCCTTCCCTATACCCCATTCCACATCCCAAATCCCATCCTCTCACCCATTTCCCGTTCCATGTCCTCCTTATACACAATTCCCTATCTTGTACCCCATCCCGCACCCCATTCCCCGTCCCATGCCCCCTTTATACCTCATTCCCCTTCACACACCCCATTCCTCATCCCATGCCCTCTTTATACCCCATTCCCCTTCACACACCCCATTCCCCATCCCATGCCCCCTTTATACCCCATTCCTCTTCACACACCCCATTCCCCATCCCATGCCCCCTTTATACCCCATTCCCCTTCACACACCCCATTCCCCATCCCATGCCCCCTTTATACCCCATTCCCCATCACACACCCCATTCCCCATCCCATGCCCCCTTTATACCCCATTCCCCATCACACAACCCATTCCCCATCCCATGCCCCCTTTATACCCCATTCCCCATCACACACCCCATTCACACACCCCATTCCCATGCCCCCTTTATACCCCATTCCCCTTCACACACCCCATTCCCCATCCCATGCCCCCTTTATACCCCATTCCCCTTCACACACCCCATTCCTCATCCCATGCCCCCTTTATACCCCATTCCCCTTCACACACCCCATTCCCCATCCCATGCCACATATTCCATCCCACAGCCCTGCTGTACCCCACCCTATGGCCCCAGTATTCCCCACTGCACCTCTGCTTTACCTGTCCTGTATCTCCTGCCATACAACCACGTCCCTCAGCTACCACCCAGCACAGCCTCGCCATACCCCACCAGCTGCTGCTGTGCTCCATCCTCAGCTACGGGATGGGAAAGAGCAGCCGGTGGATGCAGGGTGTTGGTTTTATAAGGGGAAAGGCAGAGGACACTGACCAGGAAGGCCGGGAGAGCAGAGGTGGGATGAACCAGCACCATGGTGCATGGCAGCCCGGTGCAGCACATGTGGTGCTTGCCTGTGGCCCTGGAGAGACCAGCACGGGCAGGAGGACAGGCAGCTCCTGTCCGCCTGCCCCTCGCTGTCCCCACACTGCCCCACTGCCGGGCCAGCTCCGAGACCCAGGCTCACACCTTGCCACCTGCAGCACCGGCATTCCCCTGGGAAGCCCTCGGAGCCCTCCTGGCCGCGGGATGGTGAAGCTGGAGATCCCTGTCCTCCATCCTCCCCATTCCTGGGGCCGGCAGCAGCTTTTGCACAAGTCCCAGGACACAAGGAGTGAGGACATGCCCTGGAGCCAGCATCCCGCACCCCACTGCCTCACAACCCACCGCACCTGGCACAAGCCACCACTGGCTGCCTTATCCTGGCCCTTGGGCCAAGCCTTCCTCTCCCTCCTCTCCGCCACGAGGAGCAGTGAAACAGTTAAGCAGCTGAGTGTGCTTTTCCCCATCATCTCCTCCATCAGTTCTGAGAACAGTCGATACCTTGGTCCCAAACCTCCTGCCTCTATTCCGCTGCCTGCCTCCCACTCTCCATCCCAGCCCCGGCAAGGAGCAGGGGGGGCACCAAAAGCAACCGCTCGCTCTGGCCACATTTGGGTCCCATTTTGGTTTCTATCCCCTCAGATTTCACACTCCAAAGGACAGGAAAGAATTTACAACCCCTGAGAAGGGTTTTTCTCTTTTTGCTGCTTAACCCTTTCCAGGGGGCTGGAAAAGAGAAGCAGCAATGGGACATCACCTCAGGGGGACCTGGGAATGAGGCCACCACAGGAGACGTTCCCAGGAGGGATGCCCAGCTGCCTGTACCAATACAAGGTCCTCACAGTGCCCCTTTCCCTCTCCATCCCGCTCCATCCCAAGCAGCCAGTGCTGGCAGTACACTGCTCCCGTGACCAGACACCAGGTCCTCACTGGTTTTCCAGTGCCACCGATGGATTCCAGATCAGGAGAATGCCTCCATGCACATCTCCATCACCCTTATTTTTAGTTACGTTATGTAAGTTCTTCGCGACGTCAGGGATGTGGGGGGTTCTTGCATCTAATTGCAGAGTGACAGCCCAGCGACTCCAACAAGCTGTTCCTCTGGTGAGGAAGATAAAAGGATTTGTAATTTCTCATAATAAAAGAGGCCTTTGGGGACGACCCTCAGAGAATCTCGCACATCCAGGCCTGCTCTCAGGCAGCTGCTCCACTTTCTTCCCAGCCTCTGCTTCTCCTTATCCCCCAGGAAATGTGAGCACTGAGAAACTTTCTCCCTCCTACCCGCCTGCTCCCCTTTGGTTGGAAGCAGCCGGTGATTTATCCTCACGTTCAGAGGCACATTGCACAGATTATCGTTGCTCCTGGCTTCTCCCATGTCACAGTCCCTCGATCTGTGACACAGAACAGCCACCTGGAGCTGCCATTTGTGACAGGGAACAACAGCTTCCTGGGCTGGTCCATGCTTCCTGCGCTGTCCCCGCTGTGCCCATTCAACACCTCATCCCTTTCTCCCTTCCCCATCCCATTCCCTACCGTATACCGCATCCTTTACCCCATTCCCCATCCCATGCCCTCCCTGCACCCCCGGCTGTGCTGCCCGTGCCCCATGGCGCAGCCCAAGGCAGAGCTGCGGCCCCGCAGCGCCCGGAGCACCCTGAGAATCCGGGGCAGGAAAAACCTGCCCTTGCCTCGTGCCGCAGCCTTGGCTTTGGTTGCTCTTTTCCCCCTTGGCTGCAGCTCCCTTTTGTCAGGGTGATTCACTCCCCGGGGCTCGCAGCAGCTGGAGCGTGCCCAGGGTAACCATGGAGCAGAGCCCTCGCGGGTCGCCTCAATCCCCGTGGCACCGCCTGGTGCTCCTCCCGCTCCCGTTGCAAAGGCAGCGCCCTTCCACTGCGGAGGAGCCAAAGGCGGTGGGTGCAGTGTGGGACCCGCCGTGCCGGAGCTGTAACCGGGCTGGGGTAAGCTCACAGCGGCCCCGGCCCCGGCCCCATCCCCGGAGCGACGGCACCACCGCACCCGCGGCGCCGGCCACCTCCAGCCCCGGGTGGAGCGAAGTTGCTGTGGCAACACCAACTTATGCAACAGCCGCGCGGCTGCAGGTGTGCGGAGGAAACTGCTGCTGGGGAGCCTGCATCATGGCCGGGTCACGCAGCCCAGCGCAGCCGTGGCCAAGGGCAGCAGCAGCACGAGGAGGGAGCAGCAGCCCCCCGGGATGCAGGGGTTTGGCTCACTGAAAGGCCTTGGCAACGGGCGCGGTGGCTGCCCCGGCAGGGAGGTGGCTGCCGGGCGGCATTGCTGCCCAGGGAGGGGAAAGCACTGCGTGGGGTCAATGGGAGCCGCCTCGTCGTCAGGGAAAGCCTCCCGTGACACAGGAGAGAGGTGGTGCCGGTACCCCGTGCCTTTGAATGCGATGTGTCACCAGTGCGTGCAGAGAGGAGCGTCACCGGCACGGAGAGGAGGAAACGGAGGCAGAGCTCCGGCTCCTGCCACCCCCTGCGTGGCACCGGTGGCTGAGCTGGCCCCGGGACCGGCTCCGGGCGGTCGCTGCTGGGTCCTTGGCACCTCGAAAGGAAGGTGGATGGTGGCAGAGCAGGGAGCAGGGGCTCTTTGTGGGGGGGCCGGGCTGAAGAAGCCGCCTCCATCTGTAACTCACCTGCTTGTCCAACACGGGAGGACAAACAGCCCCTTCTGTCTCTTCACCTCCGTCTCAGAGCATACGGAAAGGGAAGGATAAACCCAGCACCTCCCATGACCCCGCGCTGCTCAGGGCTGGTCCTACCTGCAAGTGTCAACTCGTTAATGAGATTACCAGGACATTTCCGAGCTCTCTGGCTGGGGCAGATGGTTTCCCCATCGCAGCCGCAGCAGAGCCCTCTCCAGCCTGCGCCGGGGGTTGCTTGTTTCTCAGCTGTGATTTAATCACATCCTAATGTGATGGTTTTGGTGTCTGGGGGGGATCAGCCTGACAGGTTGGAGCAAAACCAACCCAGCAGCAAGTGCAGGGCATCTCTTCCTCACCACCCTGCTCAGCTCTGACCCCGGTTGTCCCTGCTTTTTCCTTGGAGCACCCCATTAACCTCTGTGGGAGCTGGGGCAGCAAAACCCCCATAGCAACACCAACCCTCAGGTCCCGGAGCCACTCACCCAAACACGGCTTCACTCTTCCCTTGGTAACGCAGGTGTCACTCCCGGGTACCCATCGCGGTTCACGCTGCTGAGAGCTGGTCCCTCCATCACACGGGCACCACGTCCCTCGAGTGTGTGACATGGGGTTACTGCTCCATGTGCTGCCTCGAGCCACGCACGAGCTTACACCTCCTGTTCTGTAGGGTCAGGACTTAAAAGCTGTGCTGAAGTGGAGCTTCCCTGCGTGTGCCAGCAGCTCCCAGCCCCTTAACCCCCCGCACCGAGCACAAACAGGAAATCAAGTAAAGCCATTTACTGGGGATTAGCACGGGATGAACAATCCAGGCTCTTATTGTGCTGGGGGAGCTGCAGGGCTGGAATCCAGCACAGGGGCTGGGACACGGTGACAGTGACTTCCAGCCTCTGCCTCACTCTGCTGAGCAGGACTCACTGCACTTGCAAAGCGGGTCAGGATGAATTCACAAAGCAGGAAACTGAGGCCCGGTGGGGTAACCCCAGGCAGGTTTTCCCTAATCCCAGCTGAACGAGGCTCCCAGCAGCACAAGGCGCTGTTTCCAGGTATTTGTATGCCTGGAATTGTTTTGGCCAGTGATGGGGCACAGCAGCTCTGTGCCTGTGTTGTGTCCTGCATCGGAGGACATGGTCCTGCTTCTGGTGAGGGAGCATTGGGAAGCGGTTCTGCATCCTGGCCTTTCTGTGTGGGCCACACAGAGCCTGGGC